GGGATTTTTTTTTAAAGAATGGTATTTGTTTTGATCGATTATCTGCACAAGTGTATTGCATGACTGTGCAATTCCATGTTCGAATACATTGATCTAGAGTGGGTTTTTTTTAAAGGAATAAATAAAATTGATGAAAACTGGGTGTTGATGGCCGCAACTTCATCGGACTTTGATGTAATGTCGCCGTATAAGGAGTTAGGCAAATCGGCGGTGGGAACGGGGGGTGGTTTACAGGAAGAATGACCGGAGGTAGTGGTATTGTATGGTTTTTTGGTTTTTTCTTCTCATTTTTTGATAATAAAAACTGGGCGAACCTGGGTGTGGATGTTAATTGCCAAGTTGAATAATCCTTCATGCATAAGAGCAACACTGTACTACTGGTTTCAGTTTTTTTTTTTTTTTTTTTTTTTTTTTTTTTGAGTTATTACGAATTGAGAGTGCGAAGTAGGGGCTCTTGACGGGGACAGAGTTAGTGTTTCATGAGCAGTTTTGTGTTTGCAGGTTTATGTTATGTGTTATTAGGGGAGGTAAAAACTGGGCAGATGATATGCAGCAGAAAACTGATCGAAGAAATGGTCTGTATTGGAGTATAAAAAACGACACTATGCACTTTAGGGATTTAGAGAATGGCATAATTAATGTGCAAAAACATGATGAATATGTGAATGTGTATGTAACTGTATATATTTGTGCAGAAAAATGACTAGTGGCTGTGCATAGGAATAATTTCGTGTTTCTGTGCATGCGTCCCTGTGAATATGTGAATGTGTATGTAATTTCGTGTTAACGAGGAATTGATATTCTACATTTCGAATTCGTGCAGCATTGGTGTACGACATTGTGCAAATACGATATAACTGACAGAACGAGTATGTGCATCGACGGTGTATGTAGTAATACAATGTTAAGTGTAATTACAAGTAACCCGAAGTTGGCTAAATAGTTTTTTACCTATTATGCTGATGTGCACCTACGTAGCAATAGTTAATGCATCACGGTAAGAATTTGGGAGACCATTCTGTGCAACCTACGACGTTTCGTTGTTGCGAAGTTAATATACCAACGTAACAATTAAGTTTTATTATAGGACATGTTTCATGCAACAGTAGTTGTTTATTGATGTGCAACAACAAAGGATGCTAATGTGCAAGTCAGTAGTCAAATCCAGATACAATGTGCAAGACACGAAACTGCTATACTGTGCAATAGGGGAATGTTAAAAAAAAGAGAAACAAAATACAACAATAACAAATCCATATCATTATTTTAAGAACAAAGGAAGCAACGAGATTAGACACATCGCATGGAGAAATTCTACAAACATCGCAATTGAGAAATTTTTAAAAACACCAAATGAGATAAAATTGTTCCATATATTCAAAAAAATTATAAGTAACAAAACAAAACACATACATTATTTAAAAACCAAGACAAAATGCAGAAAAGGAACATGTGAATGGAGAAGTAAAACCAATAGAAATGTGTTTAAACAAAAATAAAATTTAAAGACAAGTGCGACCCATTCCTCATATGTTTCCGTTGCGCATCGGGCAGGTACGGCTATTATGGCCATACTTTTCACAAGTTTGGCATTGACGTTGACGACGTCCAGACTTTTCAACGGCTAATTCCCTTGTACTTTTCAAACGTTTGCCACCACCCTTGTTATTCAAGATAGGAGGAGGACGAATAACAACTTGTCCATCGGGCGAAGGAAAAAGCTGCCCCTCAAAAGGCCTAACCCCCGAGTACACACGAAGGCGTCCAGTACTTAGTCCCATCCGGAAAAACGTCCATAACACAAGCCTGTAGCGATTCCGACCCAACTGCACACGCAACAAACACAAATACATACGTAAACAAAAAACAAACAATTAAAAAAAATATGCACCGCAAACAAAAAATAAAATAAAAATCAATACTATGACCAAGAGAAGGAAAATACTGACCCTCAAAAGGTCTATCAGCCTCATCACACGAAGGATCCCAGTACTTAGTCCCACCCGGAGAAACGTCCATTACACAAGCCTGTAGAGATTCCGACTGAACTGCACACGCATGAACCACAAATACATAGGTAAATAAAAAATGGGACATTTAAAAAAAAAAAAAACATGCACAACATACAAAAAAAGGTACAACAGACTGTGTGCACAATTAAAACATCCATGCATGCACACTACAAAAAACACCCCAGCCACAAATAACAAATAAATACGAAAAAATAAAAAATAAACACACATGAAACACAACACGAAACAGAATGTTAAAAAAAATACCAAACACAGTATACATAATTAAAAACGAAAATAAAACAAGGACAATAAATAGGATTAACAAAAGAAATTGATGAATGCAATACCAAAGTAATAAATATTGCAAAAGACTACAATGAAAATGACAATAGAAATTTAAAAAAAAAAATGAAGAGGGAGAAATCCTTTTGGAAAGAATGCAGAGAGAGAGAAGAAGGTACACAGTGAAGCAGATTTCTCTTTTATATTAATTGACAAATGTGAAAATTTTAGGACTGTAAGATCAATCTATAGAGGATGGTGTGTTATGAATTTAGTCTTTTTTTTTTTTCTTTGGGAGAAATAGATTTAGTCTTACTTCACCTAATGTAAACGTGTTGGCTATACTAAACAACTAAACTAGTAACAAAACAAAAAGAAACAACAGTAAAATCAATAACAAAAAAAGGTAAAGAATATAAAAGGTTCCATGCTGAATCACCATGTGAATCAAATCTATCCTTAATTATCATATTTAAGTCAGCTAAAAATATGAAAATCAGCCAAAAAAAAAATGAAAAAAGGAAAAAAAAAATGCAAAGACAATAAAACCCCTAAACTAAAGACATGGCAATAATGGAAAAAATTCTCCCAAAAATAACCCAAAAAACAAGAGCCATAGATCAAACTAAAATCAAAGGTGAGAATTCAACCACAAACCTCATGTAGAAACATGACCTCATTTGATCCTCTATATATATATATATATATATATATATATAGGGATGCACTCAGGTGCGAATAAGTGCTCAGGAAGGAATATGCGAACGAATCAGCGCGCGACACGAGTCCAGATATAATAGCTTAAAAAAAATGCGGTGGCATTTTCGTAAATAATTGAAAATCAAAGTGCAAGTAAAATCACTTACAAGTGCACATACTTTCACCTATAAGTGCATATAATTTTGTCTTGTTAGCATTCACTTCCTGCAAACATTCATGCACTTGGGTGTGCTTAGGGATGTCAATCGGGCTAGCCCTGTCGGTTTGTCGGGCTAATCGGTTCGGGCTAATCGATTTTTTAATATTTTATTCTCGAGTTCGGTTTGACCCTAACCCTAAACTTCGGGTTGTCGAGCTAATCGGGCGAGTTGAACCATCTGAACTAAAATTAGAAACTGAAAGTGAGTACCCATATTTAGAGTAGGGATGACAACAGGGCGGGGCGGGGCGGGTAGTATACGTTCCCGCGGAGAATTTGACGGGGACGAAGAATTCCGTCCTCGTCAATTTTTAGTCAAAATATTAGATTAATGTTGATTTAAATTTAAAAAAACTAAAAATTTAAGTTATATATATATACAGTATATACAGTAGCAATACTTATATATATAAGTAATGCTACTGCATTACGTTTTATATATATACTAGTTTTTTACGCGCATTGTGCGATTGGGATAATGCCTAATGATTTTTTTTTTGTTTTTTTAAATAAGTACTTTAAAGTATATCAATGCAAGATTATATTGAAATTGTTCATGCATATATAATTGAATGTTAAATTTGTCTATTTAAATAGGCAATTTTAAATTTACAAGTGCAAGATAATATAGTCAAGATTGATTATAATTGTCAATAAAATAATTGTATAGATATGGTTGAAACCAAATACGGGACATAAGGGATAGCAAATAAAAATTAGAACATAAAATATTAAATATATACTAATATTGAAGAGCTAACTGTTGATTGTCAAACAAGGACATTACGAAATAGTTTCCCACTTCAATTTGTTGTATGATTTGAATACTCTTTTTGTCAATAAATCCCCCAAGTAGTTAATATGATGACTTAATTATATTTTTTTATTTTCTAAGACAATTATTATTATTATTATTATTATTATTATTATTATTATTATTATTATTATTATTATTATTATTATTATTATTATTATTATTATTATTATTATTATTATTATTATTATTATTATGTGTACCCTTAGGTCATTTTATATGTTAATCTAAACAGCTAATTTTTTCAAATATCTTTTTTACCAACCGTTGATATAATTCGCTGGTCAAATTCGCTAATATAATCCGCTAACTGCTGATTGTCAAACAAGGACATTGCGAGGTAGTTCTCACTTCAATTTGTTCTGTGATTTGAATACTCTCTTTTCCAACAAATCCCTCAAGTAGTTAATATAATTGGCTTTATTAATTATATTTTTAAATTCTTTTCATGGTATTAATAAAATACTTGGTAAATAAATATATAGCATTATTTTGTATTATAACTTTGATATTTAATTAAAAAATAGTGCACAAAAAAGATAATAGACAATGTAGTGAATATAATCAATTGATGAATTTGAATGTAAAGAATTTTTACATTGAATAAATATAAAGATAATATAAGTATATAACTAATAAAATTATTTCTCTTAATTAATTTATTGATAATGAGTAATTTTTTTTAATAAAGACATTGTAGGGACAATGTAGCGAATATAATGAATTAATGAATTTGAATGTAAAGAATTTTTATATTACATAAAAATAAATACACTATAACTAATGAAATTATTTCTCTTATTTAATTTATTGATAATGAATAATTTTTATTTTTTTTTTTGAATAAAGACATTGTACACACATAATTCTAAATTATAGAAATGCATATGTATTATTTTTTGTTGTAGCTACTAAATTATTATTTAATTTAATAAGAGTAAAATAGAGTACTAATTATGCAAACTTTGATTTGGATGGGGTTTGAACCTAAGACCTTTCTTATTGAAATCAATGAGTAAGTTAACGGTGAACTAACAGAAATTAACAGAAAAGATAATATTTAACGGAAAAGTTAACGGATAATCATATTCATTAAGGATAAATTAGTAAATCTTAAAGAAAAGTTAAAATATGATCAATCTAAGCCATTCATTTGATTAAAAAATATGACCGCCATTTTTTCTACCCATTATAGGCCTAACTCTCTTGAGCTCTTATTAGTATAGTAGATATATATATATATATATATATATATATATATATATATATATATATATATATATATATATATATATATATATATTTATTTATTTATTTATTTATTTATTTATTTATTTTAAAGTATAATAATTATTCCATGTATGTTAAGTTTCACATCACTTTTATAATAAAGAATAGTTTTCAATAGTTCGGGTTGTCGGGCTAGCCCTTTTAATTTCGGGCTAGCCCTATCGGGCGATCGGGCTAATCGGTTTCGGGCTCGTCGGGCTAATGTATTTTATCGGGCTAGCCCGTTCGGGCTATAGCCCTGTCGGTTTCGGTTTTTTTCGGGTTGGCCCATCAGGTTCGGGCTAAATTGACATCCCTAGGTGTGCTTATAACTATAGATGCAACTATTTATAACTGTAGGTGCAACTACTTATAACTATAGGTGCACCTACTTTCACATATAAGTGTATGTAATTTTGCCTTGTTAACCTTCATTGATATGAGTTCAGCGAGCAGTAATACCCTTAAAAACCACCCGCAAACATTCATGCACCTAGTTGCAACTACTTATAACTATGTGTGCAACTACTTAGAACTATAGGTACAACTACTTATAACTATAGGTGCACTTAGTATTGATACTCGGTGTAAATTTTTACTTGCACCTATAATACATTTTACATGCACTTGTAATACATTTTACTTGCACTTCAATGTTCAATTATTTACGAAAATACCACCGCACTTTTTAAAAAAAAATCAGTGTTTTTCATCCATTAGATCTGGACACGTGGACGGACAGAATCCATTCCTATTTCGCTCCTGGGCGAAGCATTCGCACCTGAGTGCGATTATATATATATCCTGGGCGAAGCATTCGCTCCTGGGCGAAGCATAACTATAGCTAGCGTTTGTTGCTTGCAGTACATTTTGGGTATTCAACGCTTATACAGGACCTGCATGCAATGCTGCTGGAATGGTTGATCGTACAGTTTTGGGTATTCAACACTTATATAGAAGGCCAATATATGCACGAACAAAAGTATTCTTCTTTGTTGAGACTATAAGTCAATTATTTTCAACAGTTTGGCCTCCCTTTTGATTTAAATTGGATATCTTTCTTTGACAGGAGTGTAGTGTCAATTCTCCAGATTATGGTTCAATTCCTATAGATGCTCCTTCGTGGTGTCAAGCCCCCTTTGACCCCGAAGGACTTTTGAGGTTTGTCATTATTTGTCCTTGATATTGCAAGGACTGCAAACTTTATGTACTAATTATCTTGTTTTGATATATTTTGTTCTTTGGTAAGTGGTGGGATTATAACTGTTAAGAGTCCCACATCTATAAAATAAGAGAGAACATATGGGAGTGTTAAGAGTCCCACATCTATAAAATAAGAGAGAACATATGGGTTTATAAGGCCATGAGTTAGACTAGCTAATTGGTTGGATTCAATCTTTTAGTGTGGTTTGGCTCATGTGCATTATAGCCCAGTTGAGTGACCATTGCCCAATTTTAAATTATAACATGGTATCAGAGCCTGTTCGGTCATGGTATCAGAGCCTGTTCGGTCCACTTTGGGTTCACCCGGTTATGGGTATTGGTGGCGTCCAAGCTTAAGCCCGCTTATTCGGTCCACTTTGGTGGCGTCCAGAGCTTTCGTTTCAGGGGAGGGTTTGGTCCAATTTCAAGTGGTCAACCGGTTAGATTCAAAATGGCCCGGTTGTCCACTTGAGGGGGAGTGTTAAGAGTCTAAAATAAGAGAGAACATATGGTAGTGTTAAGAGTCCCACAACTATAAAATAAGAGAGAACATATGTGTTTATAAGGCCATGAGTTAGACTAGCTAATTGATTGGATTCAATCTTTTAGTGTGGTTTGGCTAATGTGCATTATAGCCCAGTTGAGTGACCATGGCCCAATTTTAAATTATAACATGGTATCAGAGCCTGTTCGGTCATGGTATCAGAGCCTGTTCGGTCATGGTATTATTATTATTATTATTATTATTATTATTATTATTATTATTATTATTATTATATATTTAAGAAATTTCGCGTTAATTCTTACTTTGAACAGCATTTAATTCACTATTCACCCGGCTCGAATCTCGTTCTCCCCGCCCACAACTCACATCTTCTTTCATTTTCTTGAGCAAATTCCAACTTACCCTCTTGAAATGGTGAAAGGGGTGGAATTTAAAAGAAAGAAAAGGATGACCGTCTTTGAGAGAATCAGAGGAGGTGTTTACCAGACTATCAGGGCCAGACGAAGTGATGCGGGCATATTCATTGAAGCTATGGACATCGACGAAGGTATTCTTCCATTATTATTTCAGTCTTTCCTTTACTTTCGCTCATATGTCCTTCCTTAACTATTAGGCCCTTCCATTATATCATCCGGTCCATCTGGCTCTTCTGCTGTGGTTAGTGAATTGCCTCCATTTGCTGGCTCATCGGTTATATCATCCGGTGCTGTTGTTAGTGAATTTCTTCCTCCACAGTTTCACTCTGATATATTAAATACGTCAGGACAGGGAGGTACGACTCATTTGAGTCTTTCTTTTTTTAATTTTTCTGCCTTGTAATTTTTTTTTAATTTTACTTTCTTTTACTTTCGCTCATATGTCCTTCTTCCTTAACTATCAGGCCCTTCCATTATATCATCCGGTCCATCTGGCTCTTCTGCTGTGGTTAGTGAATTGCCTCCATTTGCTGGCTCCTCGGTTATATCATCCGGTGCTGTTGTTAGTTGGTAAGGAATACGCCGACCGACATACCTTCGTCCTTTTGTTCTTGTTTGTGCAGGTTGCAGGTCGGATCTCCTATGATGAACCCGGTCGGTTGCCGACCGGGCATCACCCGACCGCTGTCGTCGACCACCGAGCGGTAGCCCTTAGGCGAGAGAGTTGAGAAGAGACACGTGGCAGTGCCACGTGCTGACAGGCAGGGCGCCCGGGAGGACGACACGTGGTTGCTACGTGGGCGACATGCCGGGCGGCCGGACTTGTCTCTCCGGCTCCACGACTATAAATACCCGCGATAGCAACATTGGAAGGGACTTTTGGACGATCGACAGGTTTTTATCAGAACATCCCGACCGCAGTCAGTCGGTACTCAGAACAGCCATTTAGATTGTACTTAGGACCTTCACCTTGATCAATAAAAGACGATTATTTGCTTTAATTAGTCTTGTGTTAGTTTATTTACCGCTTACGTGGCAATTAACACTATCATTTTGGCGCCGTCTGTGGGGACCGGTGCAAGCAAGCTACCGTTTGACGAGCACCCGTTCTCTCCTCTATCATGTATCCCTTCGCATACAACCTCTTCGGCGACGATCAAGCGGATGCGGCTAGTTCATCTGATCATCAGCCGACCCAGCAACAAGGTTAGAATATCGGTCTCAACCTCAACCTCTCACCACCACACCCATCAACTACATATCCGGCCTTCCAACAGCCGGTAAATTACATTCAACCGGGATATCCGACACCCGGTCAGCAGTTCCAATACCTCGGGCAATATCCTTACCTGGCCTCGCCACCTCCATACGGGTACGGGCCCGGCCAGCCAATGTTCTACACACCACCGGTCGGCTATCCCCCCTACTCGCCTGCGTACACGGCTCCAGCCGCCGCCCCTCCGATTTACCCGACTGCTCAAGTTGAGCCGGAGCATCAGTCCACTTCTCGGGCTCGACGCTTGGCTCGTTCGCGGTTGAGGTCGGTGGGTGCTGAAGCGATGGAGGTACCACGGCAGGCTCCACAAGCACAACCGGAAGCTCCGGCCCCAGCGGAGGACCCCGAAGAAATCAACCGGGCGGTAGCTTTTGACCGTCTCCGACCGGCGATGCGACAACGCCTGGGACCACAAGACCCGAGCCGGCACACAGCAGATGTACAGATGCAAGAGGCCAGCCAGGAGGCTTCATCCGGGCATAGTGGGTCGAGATCTCACCGTCGACGACGCGCTCGGGAGACAACTCAAGCCCAGACGGTCGAGCTCAACGAGACCCGAGGACTGCTCTATAACCTCCAGGCGGAGTTCGCTCAATTCCGGAACGAGCATCCGGTGAGACCCCCGCTCGACCAATCGTCTTTGTTGAGGACACCCTTTACAGCGGAGTTAATGGCCCAGCCATACCCGCTCGACCTGAAGGTCTCGGAGGAGAAGAGTTACGATGGCCGTACGGACCCTGAGGTCCACGTCAATGATTATTACGGCAATATGATGATGAAGGGCGTAACGGACGCCGTGATGTGCAGGGTTTTCTATTCCACGCTCTCCGGTCGGGCGGCGGAATGGTTCCGAACGTTGCAGCCGGGCTCTATTGCTGATTTCAATGCCCTGACGATCAAGTTCGTTAGAAAGTTCGTCACCTCCAAGGTGGTGAGGAAACCCTATATGTACTTGGAAAAGGCCAAGCAGCTTGAAGGGGAAAGCGTGACCGATTTCCTCGTTAAGTGGAAGGCCGCGGTCGGGGAGGTCGAGCCAATGGATGATTCCACCGCCACCCACATGCTCCACATTTCTCTCCGGGCAGGTTATCTCTATCAGGATTTCATCCTCCACCCCCCGGCCACGTATGAGGAGGCCCTTCGAAGGGTCACAGATTATGCCAATGCCGGCGAGGCAAACGCCGTAAAACGCTCGCAGGAGGTCGGGTCTTCATCCCGTAAACCGGCCGGCCGGGCGGATCATCGATCGGGTGATGATCATCCCCGATCCCGTACCAGGCCTGGGGAGTTTACGGCCCTAAACCGATCCACAGCGGAGGCCATGCAGTACGCACAGTCCTGCAATCTCATCAAACTCCCCCATCTCGAGCAAGACGGACCGGACAAGAGTAAGCACTGCGCTTACCATCGATGTGCCGGGCGTGACACTAAGGAGTGTACCCACTTGCGCCAACTATTGGAAGATCTTCTCAACCGTGGAAAGTTGGACAAGTGTGTGGGGAAGAGAGAGGAGACAAAGAAGAATACCGACCGGAGGGACAATAGGCGCTCTCATCATCGTTCCGATCGTTCTGATCGTGATGGACGCTCCGATCGGTCGGGTCAGGACCGAAGAGATGACCGAAGAGAAGACCGTCGAGATGACCGACGGGACCCTGACCCCCCATCTAGCAGCCGACCGGCAGGCAAGCCGACCATCCACGTAATCTTTGGTGGACTGGATGATGCTTCCCGACCGAGGGAGAACTGCCCGGTCGCCATCGTAGATTCCCGAGACATCGGGAAGAGACAAAAAATGGAGCCCATAACCTTCTCCCTCGAAGATCAGCCCAGCAGCGGTGACCACGACATGGAGGCTCTTGTGGTCACTATTGACGTGAACGGGACGGACGTCCAGAGGGTTATGCTAGACACTGGGAGCAGTGCCAACGTCCTTTATTTGGACGTGTTTGAAAAGCTCAAGCTTGACAAGCGCGAACTGACTCCGGTCGGCGTACCCTTGTCTGGATTTACCGGGGCTCTCATATACCCCGAAGGAAAAATTGTGCTCCCAGTTGAGATCGGCACCCCTCCGAAGTCGATCAAGACCGAGATGGAATTCGTTGTGGTCAACCTACACTGCGTCCACAACATTATCTTGGGCAGACCCGCGATTATGAAGATCGGTGGGATTATTTCAATGCCCCACCTGTGCATGAAATTCCCCACCCCTAATGGGGTCGGTGTGGTCCGCGGCGATGTTCAATCCGTCCGGAAGTGTTACACCCGAGCGGTTAATAGGCGTGACTCTGGTACGTCTTCCCGGGTGAACACGATCGCCAAGGAAGTTTCCAACGATCGGAAGGAGAAACCCGAGCCTTCCGAGGAGATCGAAGAAGTTCCCATGTCCGAGGACCGACCGGACAGGAAGATCAAGATTGGTAGGGCCCTCTTCCCCGAGCTCCGAGCGGAAGTCTTGGCAATACTCCGGGAGTTTGCTGATATCTTTGCGTGGGGGCCCGAAGATATGCCCGGGATTGACCGAACGGTAATTTGTCACAAGCTTGCCGTCGATCCAGCAGCCAAGCCGGTCGTGCAGAAAACCTGGCACCTTTCATCCAATCGCCGCGAATTTGTCAGAGAGGAGGTCAAGAAAATGGCGGCGATCGAGCACATCCGACCGGTAATCTATCCCGAGTGGGTGGCCAATATTGTCCTTGTTCCTAAGCCCCCAGCTTGGAGGATGTGCATTGATTTCACCGACCTCAACAAGGCCTGTCCGCTCGACCCGTATCCACTACCGAGCATCCACCAGATGGTCGACGAGACGGCCGGGGCCGAGTTGATGAGCTTCATGGATGCATTTAAGGGATATCATCAGATAATGACGCACCATGAAGATGAAAGCAAAACAGCCTTCGTGACTCCGGATGGGTTGTATTGCTATCGAGTGATGCTGTTCGGCCTCCGCAATACGGGAGCGACCTATCAGAGGATGGTCAACATGCTCTTCGCCGATCTGTTAGGCCGAACGATGGAAGCATACATTGACGATATGCTGATCAAGAGTCGGGACCGATCCGACCACACTCGGGACCTCCGTGAATGCTTTCAGATCATGAGGAGATACCAGCTGAGGTTGAACCCAACCAAGTGTACATTTGTGGTTCAGACCGGGAAATTCCTCGGCTACATGATGACCAAGAGGGGGATCGAGCCCAACCCGGCCAAAGTCAAGGCAATTCTGGACATGCAACCACCTTCTACCGTTCGGGAAGTCCAGCAATTGACCGGTCGGTTGGCCGCACTCAGCCGGTTCCTCTTCAAATTAGCAGAGCGCGCTTTACCATTCTTTAAGGTATTGCGCAAAGCGAATGGTTTCATCTGGGACGATGAGTGCCGAGTGGCCTTCGATGAGCTAAAAGAGTATCTCATGTCACCAATTGTGCTCTTGAAGCCCGAGCTTGGAGAGGAGCTAGACGTGTACCTCGCCGTATCCGATCGAGCAGTAAGCGCAGTATTGTGCCGAACCGATCCGAAAAGGGTCCAGCGACCGGTATAATATGTAAGCCACGCGCTACATGGTCCCGAGCTCCGGTACTCCCGGCTTGAGAAGGTCGTCTATGCTTTGTACATTGCCGCGAAAAAGTTGGCTCCCTATTTCCAGGGTCGAGCAATTCGCGTGTTGACCGATCAGCCGATCAGGCCAGTCCTCCGCACTGCTTCATCATCCGGTCGCCTAGTTAAGTGGGCGTTAATGCTGACCCAGTACGCGATTGAATACCGACCAAGACCAGCCATCAAAGGTCAAGCCCTTGCAGATTTCTTGGTCGAGTGCACCGCTCGGGATACTCGACCTCAGGAGGTCGAGGACCCCGAGGCCGAGTGGTGGTCGCTAGCTACAGATGGGTCCAGCAGCAAGAAAGGGGCAGGAGGAGAAGTGGTAGTCATGAGCCCGGAGGGTTTCAAGGTATACTTTGCGCTTATGTATCAGTTCCATCCGACTAACAACGAAGCCGAGTACGAAGCCTTTGTCAACGGCTTGCAGTGTGCTCGGGATTTGGGGGCTGAGTACATCCGGGCTCAAACGGATTCCGCGCTCGTGGTCGGGCAGGTCCTCGGCGACTACGAAGTGAATGGAGAACGGCTACAGTTGTACCGGGACCTTGCAATGGAGAAGCTTGCCTTGTTCCGGGGGTACACCGTCCGGCACATACCCCGATTGGATAATGCCGATGCGGACATCCTGTCCAAGTTAGCCCAAGACGCCCCGGAACACATGTCAAAGATCGCTCGGATATTGGTGATCCCAAGACACAGTATCCATCGATTGCCGATCGCTCCTATCCAACCGGCAGAAGACAGCTGGATCACTGATCTAAAGGAATTCCTTGAGCACGGTCGGCTCCCAGACGACCCTCAACGTGCTCGGAAGGCCAAGCTTAGAGCCCCGAGATTCCAAGTTTTGGACGGTCGTCTCTATAGGCGATCGTATGGAGGCACTCTTAAGCGTTGCTTGACCGCATTTGAGGCCGATCTTGTTATGAAGGAATTGCACTCGGGCATCTGTTCGTCACATCAAGGAGGCCGATCGTTAGCTCGTCGAATCATATTGATCGGATATTATTGGCCGTCCCTCCAGCTAGACTGTGAGAAGCTCGCTCGGGAATGTTAGACGTGCCAGTTATTTGCCCGGATGCTCGGACGACCGGCCACTTTCTACCAGCCGGCCACGACTGCAATTCCCTTCGCAAGGTGGGGGTGGATATTTTGGGACCATTCCCTCAACTTTCCAGCCGAAGAAAGTTTGTCATTGTCGCCATCGATTACTTTTCCAAGTGGATCGAGGCCGAGCCGTTAGCCACGATCACCTCTCAACAATGTGCTCGGTTCTTATGGCGCAATGCGATTTCCCGCTTTGGTGTGCCCGTGCATCTCATCAGCGACAATGACCGCCAATTCGTAAGCCAATATTTCCAGAACTTTTTAGCCACGATCGGGACAACCCATGTCCGATCGTCGGTGGCTTACCCGTAGGGAAATGGACAAGTGGAAAACGCCAATCGGACAATGCTGGAAGGTCTAAAAAAAGAAGCTACACTCGGATGGTCGTAGTTGGGCCGATGAGTTGCCCTATGTTTTGTGGACCTATCGGACGACCCCGAGAGAAGCGACTTTGGAGACGCCATTCGCCCTTGTCTACGGAGCTGAAGCCCGACTCCCGATCGAGGCATGGATCCCGACCGCCAGAGAACGAACCTACAATGCAGAAGAGAATGAACATTCAATGGTCGTCGATCTCGATGGGGTCGAGGAAAAGAGAGAGCTAGTCGCTCGGCGTATGGCCGAGTATCAGAAGAGAGTCAAAAGTTCAAAGGATGTCCGGGTCAACCCTCGATACTTTCAGGTCGGAGATTACGTCTTACGCCGACGGGAAGCCAGTCAACCTTTGGAAGGCGGGAAGCTAGCTCAGAATTGGGAAGAGCTGTACGTCATCAGCGCCGTAGTACGGCCGGGAACATACCGACTGGAGACGACGACCGGTCGAGTAATTGAGGGGACTTGGAATTCCGAGCACCTCGTTATGTTTAGGCATTAGCCTATCTTCTGTAATTTTAGGCGAAGTGGGGGCTCGACCTGCGAGTCGGCCTCGTTCGTCACTTGTCTGTAAATTGTTTCCATGAACATTTTCTTAACCGCCTGCGAGCGGGAAAATTCAATGCACATACGATCGGTGATTGCTTGACCGTTTGCACACGGCGGCCCGTTCGCTTTTTTCGTTACCTTCATTAGACGTAGGGTAATTTAACTCCTGCGTCATCACCACGCTATCTCGACCGGTCAAATGCGCTCCTCTTCGGCGGACATTAGGGTCACGTCACCGATCGGGAAAGCCAGAGCTATAGCAGAATTCCCCGATCCGTCAAACTTCTTTCCACTATTGCACCCACTCGTGCCTAGAGCGCACAATAGTGTAGGGGCTAGGATGAAGTGAAATCTGGGCCTAGATCGGGAACACCCCGAGCGAAGAGGCCAAACATTAACATTTTTCGAAGAGGATGAAGTGAACTCTGGGCCTAGATCGGGAACACCCCGAGCGAAGAGGCCAAACATTAACATTTTTCGAAGAGTTGGAAAAATCGACAAGGCCAAGAGGTCGGAAAAATCCCGAGTGGGTAGGCCACTAAATGTCGATGCCCCGGTGGGCCAATGGGCCATTCGGTCGGAATATGCACGATCAGGCCATAAGGCCGCGGGGTCGGGCATTGGGCGATCGATATACACGCAGATAAAAATAAAGCATAAATAGTCACGAGCCACATAAGTTGGACAAAAAACGGATTTCAATAATTTCGAAATGTGCCCGGTACAAAAGCGGGACCGGGCTCCCGATCTAGTTCACCTACAAAAAATGAAGAATTTAACTGATCTACTTCTTCGTAGCCTCCACATCGCTCGGTGTGGTAGCAGCAGTCCCACTTGGCTCGGCAATCACCCCCTCCTCGCGGCCGAACAGGGCCTCACCGGGATCGGGAACAGCGGTCGGGAGAGTCGTCAGGACCAGTCGGAGGTCTTCGCCCTCAAGCGCCTCCTCCATGTTCTTTTGAGTCTTCTCCCTCATCTTCCGCTGCCCGGCCTTAAAAGCCCAGCGGCCGAACTCCCACATCAGCTCGTCCCCGACCAGATTCTTTCGCATCTCCCGGACGAACTTGATGCCGGTCTCGACGTCTCAGAAGAAAAACTTGGCCATCTCGGCCGGGTCGGCCATTCGGGCCTTCAGATCGGCGGCTTCCTTGAGAGCTTTCTGCGCCGCTTTGTCCGCCGAAGCCCGGTCCGCCTTGTCCTTTTTCAGCTCGGCTGACAGATCGCCGACTTCCTTTAGCCGCCGCTCGGCGACCTTCTTCAACGCCGTGGCCTCGTTGGTCAGCAACGCTTGGCGTTGAAGAGCAAGACCTACTTGGGAAGCCTACAAAACCGAGCGAATTAGCTCGAGCAGTCGCAGTTAAGAAATTAAAGCGAGATTGACAACTTTATCATACCTCGACCAGGTCGCGGCTGAGCTTCTCGGCCAGTTGGGTCGGGGTCATCTTCGACACATCAGGTGGAAGCGGCATGAGGTTGCCGATCCGTGTCAAGACCGAGGCATCGGTCGTGAGTGTCCCGACCTCTGGGTTCGGGTTGTGTTGCCTCCTCTGGCGTTTAAGCGAGGCGGCTTCTTCGGTGCCCTTCTCGACCGCTTTCTCTTTACCCTTGTGGGTACCCACCCGAGTGATCAGGGTGTCAGACGTATCGACCACACCACCCTCGGGCGTGACGATTGTGGTAGTCGAGCCCAGGGGTCGGGCAGTCGGTATTTGCTCCCCTCCCGACGACCCAGTCGGGGTCTTGTTCTTTCCGAGCGATATTTTTGCCCGAGGGGGCGACTTCGCGCCTTCGTCGCCGAGTCCTCTCGTGGCCATTCCTGCAAATAAACAAGTTGGTTAGGGCGGGAATAAGAGGTGTTCGGGATGTTAAGGTCGGGGATGATGGGTTAGTTTTAGACCTTTATCCTTCCGCTTGCCCCGAGCAGGCGCCCTCGCAATCATTACGCCCCTCGGCTCGGGCTTGTATTTCTCGGTCAGGTCGTAGATCGGTGGGGGCAGTTGAGCTGCTTCATAACTCTCGGCCGTCCGGAAGATCTTGTTTTCGTAGATCTCGCTCGAGATCTTCGTGACCGCATCCCGGAGAGCTCGGGTCTCGACCGGTGTGACTTGCTTTCGGAAATGGGTGCTCCAAGCCCTCTCAACCGGGAGGATCCAGGGGTCATACTTGACCGAAAAGATCCTGTTCTTCCATCCCCGGTTGTTCCCGGGTAAGCTCTCAATCGAGCACATCTTGGCTCGGGATTGGGTCATTAGGAACCCGCCCCCGTATGAGGCTGCGAGGACCTTCACCTGGTACACGAAGTTGAAAAGTTCCATTGTGCAGGCCACTCCGTTCCGAGTGCATATCTGGGGGAAGCATGCTATCATCCGGTGAGCGTTCGGGCAAATCTGTGCCGGGACGACTTGATAATACCCCAGGAATGCTGTGAGGAGGGCCGTGAAGGGGAAAGTGATCGGGGCCATCAACGAATCGTAGTGCATCCCGATCCACTTCCCACGATGGCGCTCGATAACGTTCCCGAGCCGGCGACTGGTGTCGAACTCGACTCGACCGCTGAGTGTTGCGGCGATTTTGGCTGCCTCTCCCTTCGTCAGCCTCCTCATCTGACGCTCGACGTTCTCGCTGTTCAAGAACTCGAATCTGCCTGCGGCTGGTACTGCCGGTTCGGCCGGGTCTTCGTCGATCGGCTCTGCAGCGTTTTCTCAATCGTCTTCTCGGGGCTCGGCTTGGGGGTAATCACCAATAACCCCAGTCGGCGTGTCCCGAAAGCCTCTGGTTGGGACATTTTGTCCGCTCGTTGATGTCTCCCTGCTATCTCTGCTCGAGCTCCATGATCCGCTCGAGCTGGACCCTGACGTCAAAGACGAGCTCGACGACCTTCGTCGCTCGGGGGCTTGGTCGGAGGCTTTTTGTGGTCGCTGAATGACCTCTGGTGAGTAGGACATTATGTCCACCTCTTCGCTGATCTGTTCGACCTCATCATCATAGTCCGCGATCGACACGTTCTGGCTGTCTAAATCTGACATTTTGTCTACCTAAAGGCCGGTCGGGATTAGTTTGGGACTCGGGATGTTTGGATCGAGGTCAGTTCTAGCCTACAAGTGGCTATGCGAAAGCGTAAAGCAAGAAGTAAAAGCTAAGGATTAGAGAGCTTACCGAGTGCAGAGACTTGAAAGCTTGAAAACTGGAAAGCCAGTTGCTTGACCGACCTGCTGAGATGCTTCGCTCGGGACGCTCTGAGTGTACCGACCGACTCGGGAAGGTTGGGAAAAGTTCAAATGAGGGCCTCAAAGGCCTATTTATAGGAGAGCATTTGGGCGGGAAACCAATCTATTTGCGTGACGCGACCGCTCCTGATTCCGAGGTGACCGTTGCGGTCGCGGAGGCCGGCAGTCATCGACACGTGGCGCGAAGGGAATGATAGCTGGCCGGTCGGTTTGGTGACTGACGGTTGGGCTTCTTCATCCCGCCTCGTTTTTTCCGGACGGTCAAAATGGCACGGGCTGGGGGGCTCTTGGTAGGGAATACCCCGACCGACATACCTTCGTCCTTTTGTTCTTGTTTGTGCAGGTTGCAGGTCGGATCTCCTATGAAGAACCCGGTCAGTTGCCGACCGGGCATCACCCGACCGATGTCCACTACAAGAAATTTCACATTTAGTGATAACAGAAGTTGTCACCAAAACTATCGATTTTGGTCACTATTAAAATTAGTGACCAATTTTTGAAGTCGTCACCTGTCGTCACTATATCCTCCGTCAGTATTGTAGTAGTGACGACTTTTGAAAAGTTGTCACAATTACTATGACTTTTGTGACAATGTTTATGTACACTAAAAGTAGTATTTGAGTGATATCAATAGTCGTCACAATAAATGTACATTTGGTGACGAAATATTTTATTACAAATCGTTACAATTAATTATATCAATAGTCGTCACAATAAATGTACATTTAGTGACAACTAAAATCGTTACAATTAATTATTTTATTGTGATAACACTTTAGGCACAATACGTATACTTATTTGTGAGAATTGTTGTTGACTCAAAAATGATGATTAGTGACCTAAAAAGTGGTAACAAATAATTACTTTGTTGAGACAACAATCATGGTTACAAATGTCGTATTTTTTTGTGACAAAAGAAATTAACTCTAAAACAATCATTAGTGTTAACTAATTTGGTACAACAATTCAATTTCTTGTAGCATTCATCTTCGACACTGATATCTTTAAAAATAGTGGCAGTGTATTTGTCACTAAAATACTGAAAATTAGTGGTGAAATTTATTTATTTCAAAATGTTGACATAATTAAATGTTTTAATTTATTTATTATCTGGAATATAAAATAATTCATTCAACAAATGTTAATCGTCAAATTTATTTATATATATATAAACATCATTCTCTAACAAATATATATTGTAAGAAATACAACAGTATCTAAATAAAAACTTTTTAAAATAAACTGTCTTGATTATTCTTCACTTGAGGTAATTGATGGAGATGCGCTGCCTAGCGTATTTGGAGGCCCTTGATTGCCTCCTACGTGAACAAATTGTTTCTCTAAAGCAGCTTGTGCGATACTTGAGGTAGTTAATGGAGATGCCCTGCTTAGTGTATTTGGAGGCCCTTGATTGCCTACTAAGTAAGAAAATTGTTTATATACAATAACAACGACAATGGCCGACGATACGAAACAACGGTCATACACACACAACCACCAATCCCCACTGAATGTTAACCAAAACAACAAAAGAACACCAGAAGGCAAAGAGGAGTGCTTACCTCGTTCGGAATGGTGCCGCATACACGCACGCCTTTTCGAAAAATGACGAGCAGGCACACCCGCCACCACTACGCCGGAAGAACGACTCGATTGACCGGAAGGCTGCCCAGATTCGATGCACGCCTCTTCGCCCGTTGACTAGCAGACACTTCCGGAAAAGAGCGTTGCATGTTCTGATGGTGGCCTAGACGCACGCCTCTCCGACCGTTGACCAGCATACCCACTCGCCATTGCTCTGCCAGAAAAAAAGAAGTTACGAATACACCATCGATTGTATATTCTGGATTATATGCACGAACGGAGAACAAGTCAAAGAGAGACAAAAGGGGAGTAACGCCGAATGGAGACATCATCAACTAAGGAATCTAATATTAATTTGTGGTTGATGTAGGGTTAATAGAATACTAAAACATCCTTTCACTAATAAACTTAACAAATTTAGACAAATAAACAAAAACACCCTAGGGTACGTAATGAAAACAAAAAATCAATACCGTAGAAGAGGCGCCAATTTGGAAGGTTTTTGTAAAATTTTAAATTTTATATATGCAAAGAAATAAATATTTTGATAAAAATTTGGTACACATTGACAAAAAAGGGGGCCAATATCTTTTTATCATTTACTTTCCAAATTTAATAAATCTATATATATATATATATATATATATATATATATATATATATATATATATATATATATATAAAAGTAAAATCCTCCTAGCAGTTTTCCCTCAAAACTTAGTGGCATTTTTGTAATATCAAATATTTAGACAAATATGGCATTTCAATAATATTAAAGATTTTACCTTTCTTGAGATCTCTTACCATTTTATAATTTCAAATACTAAACCCTTTTGATCTCATCCATTGTGTATAAATACACCTTATATGACCATACACAACCCCAACTAAGGTTAATTATTTCATTAATTTTTGCTAATCATCCTGTGATCTTCCACAGTTGAGGTTGATACGTGATTTGCACGGGTGAGGTTTTCATTATCTTAGTTTCTTTTATTTTTTTCTTCTTTTTGGGTTTTGTTTTGTTTTTTTTTTTTTGTTTTTTTGTTTTTTTTTTGTTTTTTTTTGTTTTTTTTGTATTTTCTGATTTTTAAACAACAAAAGTGGTTCGTAAGAAAAAATGTTGATATATTCTTTTTTTTTTAGTCTATTTTTGTTGAGAAGATACGGATCTAGAAAGATTGATCGGGAAGCAATAGACTTCTAATCATCCTGTGATCTTCCACAGTTGAGGTTGATACGTGATTTGCATTGGTGAGGTTTTCATCATCTTAGTTTCTTTTATTTTTTTCTTCTTTTTGGGTTTTGTTTTGTTTTTTTTTTTTTTTTTTTTTTTTTTTTGTATTTTATGGTTTTTAAACAACAAAAGTGGTTCATAAGAAAAAATGTTGATATTTTTTTTTTGTTTGTTTGTCTATTTTTGTGGAGAAGATACGGATCTAGAAAGATTGATCGGGAAGCAATAGAGTTCCTTGCTCATCAAGATGATAAAGTTTTGTGATCGAGGGACGAATTATGTGTATATGTAAATAGGTATAGACTTACAGAGGGAAGCATACTAAGAATACAATAAAAACCAAAATGAAATTAAAAGCATTTTTTAGTTGTCAATATATCAAAGCGTTGGAGTTTGTTTCAATTCAATTTCTCCGTTTTAAAGTGTACATTTTTTGTAATAAGAGAGTAGTTTGTCTCTCCCTTCAAGACGTTTTTCTTGCCATTTAATTTTTTTTTTTTAAGGAAAAAAATGATTAAGTACTGTGGCTTTTTTCAATAGAGTATTATTTTGATTTTATTCTTCATCTGACATTCATTGATATAAAATCACTTTACTAATGTAAAATAATGTTATTAAGTTACCATGTTTGCTTCGATATGCTAAGCCATTTAAAATTTAATACGGAGTAAAATTTATAATTGTAATACTTCCGTAATAATATTGAATAAATATTAATCATATGTTTAGATTTAATAATATATTATATTAAAAGAATTATATATTAATTTAATATAGTGATGATTAATACGGGTAAACCATATATAAGCAATATTGTACCTTAAGAATATTATACTTAATTATAAGAATTCTACCTAATAATTTTAGTATTAAATGTCATACAATAATTACCATAAACAATGTTTAATAATTGCCAAATTCTATTATGCAATAAAAATTACTATTATAAAATCTTTTGTAATATGGACACATTATTTTTAATTATTTCGATTTAATAATATTATATCTTATGTATAAAAATTCAAATAATACTTTTAGTACTATTGAATATTGATTGACTAACAATTATTTTAATTATTAAGGCAATTAATAGATATTTCGATTTAAAAAATTTTCAAATATATGAATTATACATAGTAGCATGGAATCAATTAGTAAGACAATTATATTAGGTAATCTAATAAATAATTTACTTTTTAAATTATATCCCCTCTTTAATAAATTATACTTACATTAATAATTAATTATTAATATTATTACCTAATAATTATATATTGTTACCTTTTTTGGTGTAATTATTATGGTAATTTATATACATATATATTTTTATACTTAATGTATAATATTATTGGCATGAAATAAATTATACTTACCTTAATATATAATTAATTTTTAATATAATTACCTTATTTTTATTAAAGGTAATTATTCTGATAATTTTTCTTTCATTATTTTGTGTGATTATTATGGTAATGTATTTAAATTTTGGAAGAGATTATTACAAATATTATAATTAATATAAGTAATATAATTAATGAAATTATTATGGTAATGGCCACAATATTTGGTAATTATAATTAATATAATTAAAGAAATTGAGAAATATAAGATTTCTTCCCTAGAAATATTTGTGACAATTTCATTAAATTACAATTAATAAAATATGAAATATAATTAAAAAATGAAATTATTAAATTAACAAAACATGAATATTTCTAATCATACATACACTTATGCACTATAATAATCATGCAAAATTTAAATGCAACTTTTTAAATTTTTAAATGTAATTTTTAATTATAAATCTATCAATATAAATTATAGTTAATGAAATTATATTATAGAACTTTTCTATATACATATTAATAAATATTATGTGTATATACAATGAATTATACAATCATATAAGGAAATGCGTCGGATTAGAGTTTAAATTTATTCATACAAAATTTAGAATTTACATTTTTTTTTATAAAACTAATCAAATGTTAATGTTAATAATAATAATAAGAATTTTAAAATCAGAATTATAAATTAAGTATTAGGGTAATAATTAATTAATATATATATATATATATATATATATATATATATATATATATATATATATATATATTATATTATTATTATTATTATTATTATTATTATTATTATTATTATTATTATTATATAAAAACAAAATCATCCCTTTTCAAAAAAAAAAAAAAACAAAATAAAAAATAAAATCATCCTATTTCATTTTCCCGCCCAAACTTTTGTAGTAAAGCTTATTTGGTAAGTAAATGTCAAATGGAAATTAAATAAAATCTATTAATTGGTAATATTGCATAATTGTTAACATTATGTATGGTATTATATTCTATAATATAATAATATAATTGATAATATTATTGTTCAAGTATAATAAAAATCCTATCTAATAATGTAATAATAATAAAATAAAATTAAAATTAAAATAATAACAATAACAATAACAATAACATAACAATAACAATAATAATAATAACAACAACAACAAATGTAATAATCCAAACAAAACTATATACAAAATAAATTTAAAATTAAAAAAAAAAATAGGAAGAAGACAAAGGTGGCTTCCCTTTGTAAATGATGTGGGATCATTTTGATTCCACATTGAAAATGTTTGGAAAGATGAGCTCTTAAACTCCTCTATATAAGAGGGGCATTTACAAACATATAATTGCTTGCCCATCAATATGGGCAAGTATTGAGAAGTCCAAAGATTTTTTTTTTAATTTTTTTTTTTTATTTTAGTACTATTAACCTGACAAATTATGTTGTGGATATGTGTCCACCTTGCAATGTAGACACACTTCAAAAATTGTTCATAATTATTAATATATAGTTCAAAAATTATGAACATGTAGTTCTATAATTATGAACATAGTGTTGTGAACATAATTATGAACATATAGTTATGTAATTATGAATATAGAGATTCAATAATTGTGAATATGAAGTTAAAAATTATGCATATATATCTTTATAATTATGAACATATAGTTCAGTAACTATGAACATAGAGTTCTGTAATTATAAATATAGAGTTAAATACGTACTTATGAATATGAAGTTCAAAAATTATGAATATATAGTTTTATAATAATGAACATATAGTTTAGTAATTATAAACATATAACTGTGTCCACCTTGCAAGGTGGACACGGTTCCAAAACATAACTATTCGATTGACCCTGTAACATGTAAACTTTCTCAACTTATTAAAGCCCTACGTATCAAAAGGCTCTTATTTAAGAAACCTTATCTTAATGGCTTCTTATTTTAGTTTTTTTTTTTAATTTATTAGGGGGGTTTGAGAAAGATTAACCCAAAATGTATATGAGTTGTTTTAGTTTTTAGCAGTTTGGAGCAAATTGTTAAGTTATTAAATAATATTTTTGGTATTTTGATTAAATATAAAATGTTAAACAGACGAATTTGTTAAAATTTTGACGAATTTGCCAAATAATCAAATTACAACAACAACAACAACAACAACAACAACAACAACAATAATAATAATAATAATAATAATCCAAAAAAAATTATATACAAAATAAAATTAAAATTAACCAAAAAAAAAAAAAAAAAAAAAGAAGACAAAGGCGAGCCACCGGCTCCCTTTGTAAATGATGTGGGATCATTTTGATCCCACATTTACAATGTTTGAAAAGAGAGAGCTCCTCTATATAAGAGGAGCAATGAGACTCTTATAAACATAATTGGGGCTATGGAAGATTAACCCAAAATGTATGTGTTGTATTAGTTTTTAGCAGTTTGGAGCAAATTATTGTGTTATTATATAATATATTTTGGTGTTTTGATTAAAGTTAAAATGTTAAAATAACGAATTTATTAGAATTTTGGCGAATTTATCAATAATCAAATTACAAATAATAATAATAATAATAATAATAATAATAATAATAATAATAATAATAATAATAATAATAATAATAATCCAAACAAAGCGATATACAAAATAAAATTAAATTTAAAATTAAAAATAATAAGAAGAAGACAAAAGGGAGCCACGGGCTCCATTTGTAAATAATGTTGGATCATTTTGATCCCACATTGAAAATGTTTGGAAATAGGAGCTCTTGAGCTCCTCTATATAAGAGGAGCAATGCTCCTCTTACAAACATAATTGTTTGACCATCAATGTGGGCAAGTATTGAGAAGTCCAAATGCTCATATTTTATTTTTGAGTACTATTGACTCGACAAATTATGATGTGAAACTGTGTCCACCTTGCATGGTAGACACGGTTCTAAAATTGTTGATAATTATGAATATATAGTTCTATAATTATGAATATATAGTTATGTAATTATGAATGAATATAGAGATTCAATAATTGTGAATATGAAGTTCAAAAATTATGAATATATAGCTTTATAATTATGAACATATAATTAAGTAAATATGAACATATAGTTTTGTAATTGTGAATATAGAGTTCATAATTATGAATATGAAGTTCAAAGATTATGAATATATAACTTTATAATTATGAACATATAGTTCAGTAATTATTAACATAGAATTGTGTCCACCTTGCAAGGTGGACACGGTTCCATAACATAACTATTCGATTGACCTGTTACATATAATATCTGTTCACCTATCGAAGCCCAACGAGTCAAAAGGCTCTTATTTAATAAACATTATCTTAGTGGCTTCTTATTTTAGTTTTTTTTTTTTTAATTTATTAGGGGGTTTGGGAAAGATTAACCCAAAATGTAGATGTATTGGTTTAGTTTTTAGCAGTTTGGAGCAAATTGCTAAGTTATTAAATAATATGTTTGGTGTTTTGATTAAATATAAAATGTTAAACATTTGAATTTGTTAAAATTTTGTCGAATTTGTCAAATAATCAAATTACAACAACAACAACAACAACAACAACAACAACAACAACAACAACAACAACAATAATAATAATAATAATAATAATAATAATAATAATAATCCAAATAAAACTATATATAAAATAAAATTAAAATTAACAAAAAAAAAAAAAAAAAAAAAAAAAGACAAAGGGGAGCCCGTCCCTTTGTAAATGATATGAGATTATTTTGATCCCACATTGAAAATGTTTGAAAAGATAAGCTCTTGAGCTTCTCTATATAAGAGGTACAAACATAATTGTTTGTCCATCAATGTTGCAAGTATTGAGAAGTTAAAAGGTTCTTATTTAAGAAACCTTAGCTTTGTCTTCTTATTTTAGTTTTTATTTATTTATTCATTATTTATTATTTATTTATTATTAGTGGGTTGGGAAAGATTAACCCAAAATGTATGTATTATTTTAGTTTTTAGCAGTTTTGAGCAAATTACTAAGTAGTTAAATAATATTTTTGGTGTTTTGATTAAAGATAAATTGTTAAAATGATGAATTTGTTAAAATTTTGGTTAATTTTTCAATCTCAATTTTTTAAAATTGTCAATAATAATAATAATAATAATAATAATAATAATAATAATAATAATAATAATAATAATAATCATCATCATCATCATCCAAACAAAACGATATACAAAATAAAATTAAAATTAGAAAAAAAAAATAAAGAATGATGTGGGATCATTTTAATCTCAATTAAAAATGTTTGGAAAGAGGAATTCTTGAAAATGTTTACAAACATAATTGCTTGCCATCAATGTGGGCAAATAGTGAGAAGTCCAAAGTTTTTTTTTTTTTTTTGTTTCCTTTTTGTTTAGAAGTAAAGGAATATTAAAAATAGAAAAAAAATATTTCAATAATAATATTTCACATCATCAAGGAGTGAATGCATATTTTTAAAAATAGTAAATGTAAATTAAAAATGGAACGAAAATATTTTATTAATAATATTCTACATCATCAAATTAAAATGTAACGGAAATTAGGTAAAAATATCAATACATCTATATTCTAATTGACTGAAAATAAAAAAATAATTGACTGAAAATGAATATAATATTACTAATTGATTGAAAATTTTATTAGGAATGAATATTAATAATTGACTGCAAATAAAAAAATGCTCCATAATTGACTAAAAAAAGAAGAAGAAATGACCAGATCATTGCATTTTAATTAAAAATAGAATGAAAATTAAAAATTGGAGAAAAATATTTTAATAATAATATTATACATTATTAATAGTAAATGCATATTTTAAACAATAGTAAAGGTAAATTAAAAATGAAACGGAAATATTTCAATAATAATATCCACATCATCAATTAAAAATGGAACGAAAATTAGGTAAAAATATCACTACATTTGATATTCTAATTGGAGTAATTGGTTAATTGACTGAAAATAAAAAAGAATAATTGGCTAAAAATGAATCCGATATCAGTAATTGATTGAAAATATAAAAGGATAACTAATTGAATTGAATAGGATTGTGTTGTCACTACCAATGTCGTCTACAAAGAGGTTTCAATAATGTGTAAATATAATCGGTGATATTAAGTTTTTTTTTTTTAATGAATAAATTGTTATATATCTAGACAAAAAAATATATCTTCCATACAAATGAATAAGCATACCAATTCATTTCTATAACTGAGTTGTTAGAGAACGGGCACATTTTCCTAATTTATGAAAATTCTAAACAATGATAAATAAAATCTTCAAAGTTATAGCACTGTATGCGTACATCTAGATATTAGCTATTAATTTGAGCAATTATTTGCACAAATTCAAGCAATGATAACATCAAAATATATAAACGATCCAAACCATATATTTAATTGCACTATATAATATTTGATGTTCTAATTTAAATAATTATATATCGATTCATATATTCTTAATATATTACAACAAATCCATTCCGTGCATCGCACGGGTGCAAATACTAGTAATTACTAAAGAAAAAATAGATAACAATCAGGAATATTTAACTATACATCTATACTTAATATTTTAAATAATTAGTTTTTTTTTTTGTAATGTACATAAATAACAAAAAGACTAATTTTTTTCAATACTTTGATTAATTTAAAATTGAATTACCGTGTGCTTAAATTGTTACATAATCAACCAAACTAATACTTTGATTGTTTCAATTAATTGGTCGAATTAATTAATATTTTATTATGTATAATATTTTTTATATTATATATTTGATACAACCTTCTTATACAAAAATTATTATATTACTATTTGAATCAAACTATTGAATTTTTATTTTGAGAAATTGTTACCCAATCAACCAATTCAAACTAAATTATACACGGTATTGCATATGAGAAGGACCATGTTAGGAAAATGAAAGTTTTAGCTTTACCATTCAAAGTTCTAATTTAGAGGACAATTATAATGTTATGCACGGTATTGCATAGGTCTAATTTGGATGTTGCAACTGTTGAAGTAAGCTCATCAAATAAGTAAAATAAGTGTTAGTACGGTGAACTTTTTTTATCACAACAAAAAAAAAAAAAATGAGTGATTATAAAATGTATTTTCACAATTACATTCATTTTAAGAGGCACTAACTGATTGCATTTTAAGTGACCATAATATTTAATACGTAGTTTACACCAAATTACATGACACTAACTTGAATGCAATTTTATTAGCAAACATTGATTACAAATAACCTCACACAATATTTATCTATTTAATTATAGTGACCAAGTCATTGTAATAACTAATTACTCATCACAATTATAATAAATTAGTGACAAAAAAGAAATCAACACAGTTATTGTCACAATTTAGTAATTTTTGTTACGAAATTATAGAGCGTCACAAATATTTGTAACAATTTCATCAGAAAAAATGACAATATTAGTGACAACAATATTTCTTCTCACAATTGTTTCTCATTTCTAATGGTGCAAATCAATTGTATTTTTATTGACTAAAAATGTTGTCAAGAATATTATCAACAAGAGTGACCAACAACTATTTGTCACAAAAAGTACCAAAATTTGTGTCAACATTGTTTTTTAGTCACAATTATATTCATTCCCACCATAATTATAATGCCGCCAAAAATAAACATACATTTAGTGACAACAAATAGTGACAACGCATGTTACGACACTATTATTCTAGTAATAGAGACAACTTATTCGTAACAAATACTTACTCGTCACAATTACCATATTATCTATGACCAAAAAAACGTTATCACAAGAACACCACACAATAGTGTCGAATTATTTTTTTTGGTCACAAAAAGGATATTATTTGTGACTAAATTATGAAGTGTCACAAAAGATTTGTCACTAAATGTCTTTATTCTTGTAGTGGTCGTCGACCACCGAGCGGTAGCCCTTAGGCGAGAGAGTTGAGAAGAGACACGTGGCAGCGCCACGTGCTGACAGGCAGGGCACCCGGTAGGACGACACGTGGTTGCTACGTGGGCGACATGCCGAGCGGCCGGACTTGTGTCTCCGGCTCCACGGCTATAAATACCCGCGATAGCAACAGTGGAAGGGACTTTTGGACCATCGACAGGTTGTTATCAGAGCATCCCGACCGCAGTCAGTCGGTACTCAGAACAACCATTTAGATTGTACTTAGGACCTTCACCTTGATCAATAAAAGACGTTTATTTGCTTTAATTGGTCTTGTGTTAGTTTATTTACCGCTTACGTGGCAATTAACACTATCATTAGTGAATTGCTTCCTCCACAGTTTCACTCTGATATATTAAATACGTCAGGACAGGGAGGTACGACTCATTTGAGTCTTTCTTTTTTAATTTTTCTGCCTTGTAATTTTTTTTTCTTTCTTTTACTTTCGCTCATATGTCCTTCTTCCTTAACTATCAGGCCCTTCCATTATATCATCCGGTCCATCTGGCTCTTCTGCTGTGGTTAGTGAATTGCCTCCATTTGCTGGCTCCTCGGTTATATCATCCGGTGCTGTTGTTAGTGAATTGCTTCCTCCACAGTTTCACTCTGATATATTAAATACGTCAGGACAGGGAGGTACGACTCATTTGAGTCTTTCTTTTTTAATTTTTCTGCCTTGTAATTTTTTATTTTATTTTATTTTACTTTCTTTTATACAGAGACTGTTACACTATGCATGGGGAAAGTGCATCACAAATTCTTGCTGCCGTGTTTAAGCATGGAGACCCTTCAAGAACAGGTGATAAAAAATTTAGAATTTACGTACCTAGATGAAGGAGGCGAGATGATATTCATCAAAACTGATGCTGATTTACATAAATGTGCAAAGCATTTCAACAAAAACCCAATGAGTTAATACTATTTGAGGTCCTCCGAGTATAGTAGTTTTGCCACGTTTAGTCCTAAACTTTCAAATCGACCATTTGCGGTCCTTCGACTTTCAAATTTAACCATTTGTGGTCCAAGTTAACCACCAATGGTCATTCAACTATTAAATTTTAACCAACCATGGTCCTTTCAAGAGGACTACCACTGGTTAAATTTTGAAACTTGAAGGACCATGGGTGGTTAACTTGGACCACGAATGGTTAAACTTGAAACTCGAAGGACGACAAATGGTCAATTTGAAAGTTTAGGACTAAACGTGGCAAACCCACTATACTCGGAGGCAATGTTGCAAAACACGCTAGGCGCCCCCTAGGCGCCAAGGGGGCGCCTAGCGCCTAGGCGCCGATTTTTTATTTTTTATTTTTAATTTATTTTTAATTTATTTTTAATTTTTTTAATTAAAATAAAATTAAAAATTAAAAATTTTTAAAATTTAGTAATAAAACATAAGGTTTCCATAGTTATTTCTTAGAAATTATTTACGAAAGTGGTTGTAAAAGTGTTCAAAAGATTGTTTAAACCATCTAAATACATAACAAACTAAAGAAGCATTTTTTTGAGAGCTAAAGAAGCATTTTTTTGAGAAATTAGTGGACCAAACCGCCTTCTGTATAACACCCCGTGTTATGACCCCTAACCCTAACTAAATATTTAATCACTTACCCTAAAAAGAGAATTAAAAACCCATTAATCAACTAAGAAAGGTCCACCATAGTCCATGGGCCCACATCCCTATAGCCAACCCCTTAGTCCTATAAGGAATAGAATTAGCAAGCCCATAGTATTTAGACTCCAATTAGAACTCTTGGGAATATATATATATAAGGTCATAGGAGGCACCTAGATCACACACCACAAATAATCTTTCCCGGACTAAGGTTCGGAAGTCGGTTGAAGACCGAATGGATTGTTCCCGGACTAAAGGTTCGGAAGTGGCTGAAGGCCAAATGGATTGTTCCTGAGCTAAGGCTCAGAAGTAGCTAAGGCCAAATTGATTCACTTCTTGGACTACAGGTCCAAATATGGGCCTCGGTGCTATGACCCACCGGACCTGAACGCGCCAGGACGGTGTGTAGGACCAATAAGCCGAGGAAGGCTGTAGTCCACTGACCTGAGTAATCAGGCGGTGTGTAGGGCTACGGCTGGCTGCGATCCACCGAATGATGGGACAACGATGTGTAGGGCCATAGTCTCCGAGGATCTTCGCCCACCGACTGAGTATAGCTCAGCGGTAAGCCGGGCTTGATCCGCTATGGTCCACCGACTGTGCGCATCGACGGTGTGTAGGGTCGTAAGTCCCCCCTTGTAAAGGGGATCGCGGTCCACCGACTGGGTGCGTCAGCGGTGTGTCGGATCGTGGTCCGACGTTGAGTTCGTCAGCGGTTCTCAAAGGGTTGGTTGCGATCAACTCCCCTCATACCACGGTACTGAGGTAGGGTGCTGCGGGGCCGTGTTAATGCTATAAGCATTAACCCTCATGTTCGGGGCATGCGATTGGTCCCGTGGCGCCATCAATGATTATGTGATATGAATAATGATTGGATGATGATGTGTTTGGAATTGAAAAGTGATCGGTGACCTGAAATACGTATTCCTTATGATACTATCTCTACATAACTGTTTATTATTGATTGATGTGCTTGTCCCTATCTGCTGAGTCTATTCCTGGTTTTAAAGCTAGTGTCTCTTAAATATTTATCTTCCTGCTTCGAAATGATTTTTCATATATCTATATATATCTATCTATAATGTATTTCAACGCGTTGGAGTGGGTTACCAGCATCTCTCGCTGAACAGATATATTTGGCTTTCAGGCACGGATGAGTAGACATTGGAGCGCGCTAGAGATTGGAAGCAGAGAGTAGATAGTTCCCTTTCGGCCTGCGTGCCATGCTTATGTATTGACATTATAAAGGATTTTAGATAGTTAGTCTGTGCACCTGAGTTCTCTAGCTCAGGTGTGGCATAGCACCCCATACTCTTATATTATATTTTTGGGAATTAATGAGAATTTACCTTTGTTATATAAGTCTTAAAAGTTAAAAAATTTCGGGGTGTTACATTTGGTCTACATTAGAACTCATCAGAAAGCGTTGCGTTGTGAAGCTTATCAGAGGTTGAGCGATGCTTTAACAAGGGGCGAATTGGATCCCACAACTCGGGGAAAAAGAATTATACTACCATCATCATTCACAGGCGGAGCTAAGTATATGATTCAAAACTATCAAGATGCAATGGCAATATGCAGGCACATCGGTTATCCCCATCTATTCTTAACATTCACATGCAACCCGAAGTGGCCTGAAATTGAGCGCTATGTTGCACAACGTGGGCTTAAACCAGAGGATAGACCCGATATTGTTTGTCGCGTGTTTAAGATGAAACTTGATGCTATGACTGAAGAGATCAAGACAGAAAAACTGTTTGGCGACATATGTGGAGGTATTTTATTATCATAAATACTTTAATGTGTTGTAATTAAATCTAAATTCCATGTATAAAAATAATTTTTTTTTAATTTTTATTTTCTGCACAGTTATCTACACAATTGAATTTCAGAAAAGAGGACTACCTCACGTGCACATAATGCTATTTGTGAAAAGAATGAATCGGGCACATTCTGCACCGGAAATTGATGCCTTGATTTCTGTTGAGATTCCAGACACAGATGCTGACAATGAGTATAATGACGCAGTTAGCGAATTTATGTTGCACGGACCGTGTGGACAACTCAGGAAGAATTCGCCATGCATGGTAAATGGTAAATGTTCAAAGTATTTCCCCAAAAAATATGTTAGTCAGACAATTCTGGATAAAGATGGTTACCCAATCTACAGAAGGCGTGACAATGGACGCACAATTGTATACTAGAATATACATAATTGTATAAAAGAATATACATAATTGTACAACAAAATACACATACTCTTTTTTGAAAGGGATAAAGTACAAATAAGCCACTGAATTATTTGGGAAACATCAATTAAGCCATCGAACTCAAATAACCATCAAATAAGCCATTGAACCCGGAAAAAAAGAGCAAATAAGCCATTGAACCCGGAAAGAAGAACAATTTACATTTCTAACTGGTTAACTCTAGGTTTTTGCTTACTGGATTGTCAAATGTTTATTTTATTTACGTTTCTTCTTCTTATTATTATCAATATTAATATTATCCACTTGAATAGTATTATATTTTAAAGTAATTAGAATCAAAATAGTTTTGTCTTGTCGAGATTTGATTTATTTATTTATTTATTTTTCCACTGGATCTTATGTTTAAAAAATAATAATAATAAATAAATAAATTAGATCTAGACAAGAAAAACTATTTTGATTATAATTACTTTAAAAAATATTAGTATGTGGTGGATTATAATAAAAAAAATAGAAATACAATAAACATTTGGCAATCTAATCAGCTAAAATCTGGAGTTAACCTGTTAAAAATGTTGATTGCTCTTTTTTTTTCGGGGTTCAATGGCTTATTTGGGGGTTATTTGAGTTTGATAGCTTAATTGATGTTTTCCAAATAGTTCAGTGGCTTATTTGTACTTTATCATTTTTTTGAAAAGATAATACACATAATCTAACATAATACATAATACACATAAACTCTTAACATAATATCAGTGTTGCAAAAATCGCGCCTAGGCGCCACCCGGCCGCCGCAAGGAAAGCCGGAATCGGCCTCCTCCTCGGCCGGGCGGCTAGGCGACCGCCTAGCCGACCGGTTCGGCGATTACTTTTTTTATTTTTTATTTTTTATTTTTTTTAGGGTTTTAGGGTTAAAAACTTTGCGAAGGCGTAACTTTTGACTCGGTTGTCCATTTTGGACAAATTTTCCAAATTCACTAAAATGTATGAGCAGAGTAGATAGATGATGGAGCATACCGATGCACAGCAAATTCCAGACACTCGATACAGAAAACGAAAGCATTAAGGTATCCCCGGTCACCACATTGCAGGCATATAGTATCCTGAAGTAACAAGGAACATTCATACGCATAAAAGATTCATATTGGGTATATATTCAAACCCGCATAATGTATAGTAATCAAGAAACAAGGTCAGTAACTGAAAGCATAAAAACCCATGGAACTTACATCGGGAAGAGGAAGATTAGGGGAATCAGCCATGGCTGGAGCACCTTCTACTGTACGAGCAGGTGTAATCCAACAATGGGGGTGTCTGGTATTCAAGTTTAACACGTGAAGCTAAGCAAAACTCACTTGAATCGACCTCTCACGAAGCTTGTAAGTCTCTCCGGTATTGTTTTTCTCATACACAAGAATATTACCTTAGCTTGTGAGTAGTTCCACACTGTGTATCATGATCTGTAAGACTGTAACAGATGAATAATCTTCTTAAGCTCATGTATCTTTTTTTCTATCTTCCTCCTGAATAAAACTCCATCAGTATTGGGTTGTAACTTGTAAGTAATCGCCTGAAATGAGATTTAATAGGTTGTATATCCTCAAAAAATTCATCTCACAATGGGGGTGTTGGTATTCAAGTTCTTGGTACAGTAAATAATTCACATGCTCAAGGTTTTCCCAAAAAAAAATTAAAAAAAATCACATGTTCAAGTTCAACACTGATGATGTAAGGATGAGTTTTTTGGAAAGGTTTTGACCAGCAAGAGCTGGTTTATGTCAGCAAGAGTTGGTATTCAAGTTCTTGGTACACGCACTAAACCTTAATTTCAATGCCAACTTTCAACAATCAGAGTTGTATCGATTATGTTTTTTGATGTTATCCTTGCTTGAATTCGAGCAAATAATTGCACAATCACCTGTGCGATGCACGTGTAACAGGCGTGCGATGCACGTGCAATAGGCGTGCATCGCACGGATAAATTTTTTTTTTATTATTAATTACCAATTAATAGATATTAGTTAATTTTCATATAACATTTTGCTACCAATAAAGCTTTATTAATTCTTTTACCAATAAATTAATTAATTAATATTAACAAAGGCGGTTTGCCCCACCAATTTCTCAAAAAATGTTTCTTTTGCTCTTAATTTTAGTTTTTTTATGCATTTAGATGGTTTCAACAATATTTTAAACAATTTTATAGCCACTTAAATAATTAATTGTAAGAAAAAACCGATGAGAACCTTATGTTTTATTAGTGAATTTTGATAATTTTAAATTTTAAATTTTTTTTTACATTTAAAAAAATAAAAAATCGGCGCCTACGGGTTGCCTAACGTGTTTTGCAACCTCGCATCATACACATAAATTCTCTATTTTGGATGTACATAATTGTATAAAAAAATGTACATAATTGTATAAAAATGTACATAATTATATAAAAAATGTACATAATTGTATAACATAATGTATATAATCGCGTCAACTCTCTACACAACTTATCAAATCGATATCGTTTTGGGAGGCGCGGAACGCACAGTGCTATGTGCGCCGTGGTGCAAGGTATAACGGTTGGTTCCCATACCCTTTGAGTTTGAGCCTTCTATGGCTACATGTTTTTTTTGGATTGTTGTTCAAATGTTTAATATCAGTTGTTGCTCTGGAAAAAGATGCCCAACAAGTCAACTGCAAATAGAACTATAGAAGTGGATATGACTCAAATCAATTCCGAACTATCTCAAATTGGTCTCGAATTAAGAGAAGATTAGGACGACTAAATCTATAAAAGTCAATTTTAGCTAGTATAGGTTAAGTTAACTACAAATAGAAGTGGCAACGGGTCAAGTTAATCCCAAATTATTTCAAATTGGTCTCGAGTTAAGAGAAGATTTTGACGACTAGATCTATAAAGGTCAATCTTAGGTTAAGTTAACTACAAATAGAAGTGGTCATGGGTCAAGTCAATCCCGATCTATACAAGACTAGTCTCGAGTTGAGGGAAGATTAAAATGATCAACTCTGTAAAGGTCAATCTTAAGTTAATTAGGTGAAACTTAATTACATTATACTGCAGTTTCCAAGGCTCGATCATGTGTTCTTATCTACCATTTACCATTCAAGAACTAACTGAACTCTCTATGCGGGCTCAAACTAACTACAAACGTGTTGAAATGATTTTAAGAAGTTCAAGTGCTCAACCGTCCAACATTATATCTACCAATAAAAACATACCATAAAAATCTGCTTAAAAATTCAACAAGAAGATTTGTTGTTAATGACATTACCCAAATGCATGAACCCACAAATCACAATTATTTGATTAATTATTATAATTATAATACAAGGTAAAAAGGCAAATAATATCTCATCAAATTTGTGGCCTGGTGGACCTCCAATAAATATTTTACCCCATCCCCATTGGCTTAGTGTCACTCATGCCACTCTATGCATCATTTTCCTCATCCCTTTACCTCTATGAATCACCATAATTACACATCATCATAGCCACAAATATTATCCCTTTCCCATTTTCCTAGCTTTCTACTTTGCTAGTCTAATAAATATAATGTAATTCAATCAAGGGAAATCATTTATCTCAAACAATCTTTTCAACACACTTAATTAGTCACTCCTCAAGTACCAAAAGAGAACAAAATAATAATGATACTCATAGTAAAGATTAGAAGAAGAGAAAAAAGAGAGAGTAAAGATTAGAAGAAGAGAAAAAAGAGAGAATATGATGATAATAAGGTTGAACTTACGTGCTAAAAATTAACGAGGGCATGGTTAGTGACTAAATAGACGAAAAAGATATGAAGTTTTGGGAAAGAGAATTTAATTCATGTATTTGAATAGTAAATGTATAAAAAATGACTAGACTGTACATGTTAGGACTCTATGGTCCTAGTTGTATTCTATCTCTTAGTTATTATCCTTTGTATATATTCTTGTATACAGTTTCAGTGTTTTCAGCTGGTATCAGCTAGATTTTTCAAATGGCACAAGACAAATATGTTGACTCTGAGCGGACGGTCTCTCAGGCTACTACCATTTCTCCACTGGTGGCTCCTGTCTCTCTTTCTAGGACACATCACTTTGTGTCTATTAAATTGACTACTTAAAATTTTTTATTCTGGCCTACTCAACTGGTGCTATTTCTTCGAGCTAAGATAAAACACCCTAGATCTCTTCAAGAGCATATTATAAGCATTTAACAATTTAAATTCATGAAAATTAAAACATACTAATTATTGCCTGTAGGGTTGATTCATTAGGATGGTTCCAGAATTCATGCAAGAATTGAATTAACAACACAGAAGTCGAAGAAGATATACAATAAAAATGAAATGGAGCTATCTAGCAATGATGGAAGAACAACACTTTTGAGGCTCATGTGATCATGGCCTACCTCCTCCCACTTCCAATGCAAGCAACAGCCAATAGTATAATTATAAATTATTTTTTTGGAAGAATAATTATAATTAAAAAAAAAAACTGTAATTTTTTTTCTTGAAAAAGTGCAAATAAAAAAAGGGAGGAAAAGTGCAAAAAATATGGGTATCAAACCCAGCCAACGGGTAGCTCAAGTGATAAATGAGCTCTCTTTATGATGAAGAATTTTGAGATAATCAGGGTTCAATTCTCTCTTTGGGCCACCTCCTGCTCCTTCCGGAGCGAGCAGAGATTAGTCAGGACGTACCCAGATTGTAAATGGACGGAGAAAGACCCGGAACATCTCGTGATTTACACCCAATATATATGGGTATCTATCACAGCACAGCTTCAAAGGAGATGAAGATGAGCATTGGCCTACTTTTGTGTAGATTAAAAAAAAAATGGAACAAGAAACAGACAAAATGGAAGAATACTTGTAAAGTAATTATCAAACCATTTTGTGTGTCTCATACATCTGAGGAAAAAATGGGGAAGAGACAACATGGGTTGTGGAGGGAGAAATGTCATTATCATTCCTAGTTAAGGTTCCAACCCCCCCCCCCCCCCCCCCCCCCCCCCCCCCCCCAACAAACTGTTTCTCTAGAACCTGCTTATCTAGTCATTTTCAAGTTTAGTTAACCCCCACCCCCACTCTACTAGCTCTCTAATTAATCTTGCTCCTCCTCTAAGGTTTTGATTGTGGACGGTTTTTTAAATTACTTTTTTTTTTTTTTAATTTGTGCGTGATAAAATTAGAGTTCTTGAGTTATACGTAATAGAAGAATTTAATTTTTTGGGTGACGAGGAAAACTTGTAGATATTAAATATATAAGGAGGATAAAATTAAATGAGAACGTGATAGGGATCTGCGAGCCCACTTTAGCATAATCTCCACACTGCCGCGGCCGAGATTTAAAAGTTGGTCTCTTCTCTTAAATATGTCTACTGAACCATTGAGCTAAGTCCCTACGGGTTCTCTACTCAAATGGATGGATGAGATTAATTAATAAACATTTTTTACCTAGAGATGTATTCTTATTGGAATCCGACCCTATATGTCATTGGTTTGACTTTTTTTTTTTTTTTTTTTTTTTTTTTTTACATATGAATAGGAGAGAAACATATTACATGAATCTAGTTCTAATGCACTAATCAGATAACAATGGTAATCTTTTTTGTCATTTTACATACGGGTCTTAATTCCAATAAGATTAAAATATTAACTAAGTACTTAATTATTATATTTTAAAAAAAGAAAAATCAAAGTCTAAATATCTAGCCAATTAAACCAATAATTATAAAGTAGTGATGGTGGGATTAGAAATGGGTATGTTATTGATACTGACACAGTAAATATGATGATTGATGATATGATTAAGAAGGTTGAAAATTTTGGGTATGGCATGCAGCTTAAGGTTAGTTGTAGGGAACGCAGCACAACCTCAGCAGTCCCACGAAACCGCCCAAAATTAGAACCCTACTTGAATTGCTTGCTTTACACTATAACTTGTTGGCCAAAGCAACCCCACCGGCCACCACCCCCACCCGGCCCACCCTGCAATAAAAATTAGAAAAAAAAAATGGGTAACCCACTAATAACCTCATCCGATCCAAGTTAGTCAAGCTGTTTACTCGGTGCCCACATGAGTAGCTCAGTTGGTCACATGTGTGAAATTTGAAAACAATGGCCTGGGATCAAGTCTCACCAGCGACAGTGTAGAAGCAACCTCTCAAAGTGAAGGGGGCTCCTTGTGCACAGTAAGCAAATGTCTGAGTTACCATGATTTATATCCCTCCTAGTAAGCAAAGGTCTAGCATCTGTATTCAGCTGAGTTACATCATTCTAAATGCTCTGGCGAGGGACTTGGGGTTGCCAACCCCATGATTTACATCATTCTAGATGCTCTGCTGGGGTGTGGGGGGACTTGGGGTTGAGAATTCAACATTTATTTATCTAGTGTATACTTTCGAGTAGTGATTACTGATTTTTCCTATCACTCAAAAAAATAGAAAAGATAAATGAATAAAGAAACTTTAATTATATGTATGCAGATAATGGTGGTACTTGGTCTCTATATATGGTCCTACTAGCCCTACAACAACCATTGTTGGTCCCAAGGGAAAACATTATAAGTTCAAGAATCAGTAGCTTATAATTCTTGCTAGATTTTATGTTTGTTTTTTTTTTTTCCTGCTCTATTTTTGGTCTGGCGGCTAAAGGATAGTTCACACCTCATGTCTTGAAATATATAGATGCATGGATACACACACACATATATGTGTGTGTGTGTGTGGTGTTCATACACTGACAATGTTGTTATATATGTGCTTTTGATTCAGCAATATACCAGAAATGATTTTGCCTGGCCTTATGCCAATTTTCCATGGTTCTTATGATCATACACTGAGGGGTTGCAAAACATGCAGCACAACAAGTGCATATTTAGCTAGGCTAGGGTTTGAAACATGTGACAATTGGTTGGCATGCTTAATGTTGAGGATAAATATAAACCTATAAATTCATGTAAGGGGTAATTCTAGTCAAGCTGCGCTGGTTGAAAAGTTTGTTTAATAATAACAGAGGACTTCAAGTTCGAAATACCCTTTGAGCTAAGGAAGCTGCCTATTGACTCTCGATTTGGACTGATCAGTTATATAGGCAATCTAGGTTGATTAACGGCATTGTAATTTTCTATGAATTAAGATCGATCACAAGATAAATTTCATCAAAAGTGTGCATTTAAGTAATTGTTACAGTCATCAGGACTATGTGGTCCAATGGTATCCGGGTTGGACTTCCATTTGGAAGATTATAAGTTCGAGCCTCAGTGGAGGCGTTATTGGTTCTTTGTGTTTCAGTAGGTTGAGAAAGTATATGAACAGATACTACAATGTAATAGAGCCAGTAACTTAAAAAAAAAAAAAGTAATTGTTACAGTCAAAAAACAAAAAAAAAAAAAAAGGAAGAAGTAATTGTTACAGTTTTTTTGTCTTTTTGTAAATCAAAGATAAATGCATGCTTGTGGCCAGTCAAGTTTACAGTTATTAGTTGTCACCGGATCCTATGCAATTAGTGTTTTCCATCTGACACGCATGAATACAAAAGAACTCTTTTTGCGTTTCAAATGTACCTTCGTTCTTTTCCCAATGAACATGAACTAAACAACCTTCTTAAGTGGATCCAACATTTGGCTACTTTTTTTTGTTTTTTTTACTACGCGTAATATTTGTTCATATATACTTTCTTAACATATTGAAACCTAATGAGTCAATACCTCCAACCTATAACCTCCCACTTAGGGAATCACTTCCTGTCGCTTGACCATAAAGTCTTTGCATAACATTTGGGTACTTATTTCGTCTAAAGATGTTTTTTTTTTTTTTTTAAATAAACATAAAATAAAATAAAATAAAATAAAAATAAATAAAGGTAAATTATTGTATGGACCATGGTCCACATAGCTGTGTGGACCATGAATGTAATATACATTTTTAAGATACTAAAAGTACATTATTTGTGTACTGAATGTATATTATTTAATAATATATAAAAGATAATGTATTTTCGAATAATTTACTTTATGTATACAAATAATGTACTTTTAGTATATTGAGAATTATTTTTTATTTATGGTTCACACCACCCCCTGCCCCCTTCCGGAGACGAAGGAGCTGTCTTCGTCTCCGGTAGGAGACGAAGGTAGATCGCTTCGTCTCCAACCAGAGACGAAGAGATCTGCCTTCATCTCCAACCGGAGACGAAGGAGGAAGGCCACCTCGAAGTTATTTATTTATTTTTTTTAAAATTTTAATTTTAATTTTATTATTAAAAAATTATTTAAAATGCCAACGCACCTTCCACATAAGCAGGTAACATGTTGAAATTGATCGTAACCTGCTTTCAGGTGAAATTGTAAATATTTGGGGTGTTCAATGGTCTAATTGCACTTTTTTTTTTCGTTTAAGTGACCTAATTGCACTTTCAAGGTTACTTTATTTATTTTTATTTTTTTTGGGTGGCTTGGAAAACCCGCAATTCCACTGAGTGTACTAAACATATATACCCTATTCAAGAATCACATATGAGAAGTAAATGGCTCAACTAAAAAAAATATTGATTATAATTAAATTCGTGACTTGGTATAAGAATCATGCTCCAGCCACTCTGTCACAAAAAAAATATAGTATTTTTTTCTGGGTTGGTACTAATTACATATAAGTGTCAATTTCCAAAGAAATGATTAATAAATCTATTGAAATTAGTTTAAATAATAATAATAAGATCTAAGAAGAAGGGAAAAGGGTCTTCTCATGGGATGCAACAATTAATTAGAGTAAAAGACATTTTTGGTCCTAGACTTATAGTGGCACGGACAATTTTAGTCTTCCATAAAAAAAACAGACAATTTGTGGACACTCTTATTATGACGAGGACAATTTTGATCCTCCGACATTCTTTCCGTTAGATGCCCCGTTAGGGTGGGGATATTTGCATCTTTTCATCATACCTCCGTCTCTTTAGAATCCAACTTCTCAAGCTTCCCTTCTTCCCCCATTTGCTTCCATCACCTCCTGTCACTGGCAGCAATGGAGTCACGCAATCCGCTTTTGATCTCCTGGAATGCTTCCTTAGAATCTCGCTTGCAGCAACACAGATGGCGGCATACACAACGTAGATGGAGAAAAAACCCATTGCAAACCCAACACTAACCTCGCCAAGAATCAGAATCATGAGCAGAGACAAAATCCCGAAAATGAAGAAACAAACATCCCTTAAGAAGCATTTCTTGTCAATCTGAACAACTTGCTCAGTAACACACAAAGCCACATGCCAAAAACTACACAAGTCACAAACACGGCCCAGAGTCGGGGGCAACCTCAACAAATTCGAGAGCTTTTCGAGACAACAACAAAAGTAATCTGCAGCAGTATTACCCAACAAGTAGAACAAAGCAACCAACCACACTCTTAATACCACATACCCCACACCACTATACCTGTTCTAATCTTCAAAGCTACAAAGGGGAAGAAATCGTGAGCAATTTTAGATGAACTTGAACCCATATCTGATTTGCTAGCTAATTTAAAACCCATATTCTTTCAAGCCCTTATCTTCCGTGTCCCAAGCCGGAATCTGATGTGTTTGACTAGCGCGTCGGCTAGCTTGAAGTTTTCCTGCTGGACGGCCTTGGCGCAAGCCATTAGCGCATGGACATGCCTAACGCTGGCTTCTTGAGAATCGACCAGCATCACCGATTGAGGAGTCTCTGTAGCCACCGCTCCGCCGTCAATTTCCGCCAGCGATTCTCCACCGCTAAAATTAGATTCGGCTGAGGATTTCGTTCTTTTATAAGACTTCGAAGACAATGATGCTTTCCCCCTAGTGTTATTACCGAAAATAGCGCCGCCTGAAATTTCCCTCAAATCATCATCGTAAATCCTCCTACTACCATTTCCGTTGTGCTTATTGCTGGAAAAGCTGATAATATTGGAAGACTCGCCAGTGAGCATCATCTCATCGCCGATGACGGCGCTGCAGGAAGACTGCTGGGAAAGCACGTCGAAATTGGGGGACGAAGAGGAGGCGTTGAGCTCGGAGAGCATTCTCTCTAATCATCATCGTAAATCCTCCTACTACCATTTTCGTTGTGCTTATTGCTGGAAAAGCTGATAATATTGGAAGACTCGCCAGTGAGCATCATCTCATCGCCGATGACGGCGCTGCAGGAAGACTGCTGGGAAAGCACGTCGAAATTGGGGGACGAAGAGGAGGCGTTGAGCTCGGAGAGCATTCTCTGGATCCAGCTGGTGAGATTTGAGAAAAAAAGAGTGCTCGTGAATAAGGTGCGAGCTTCAAGAAAGTAGAGAGAGTAATGTTGAAAAGACGCAATTACCCCCTCTCAAACGGGACATCTAACGAGAATATTGACGGAGGACCAAAATTGTCCTCGGCACAATAAAAGTGTCCACAAATTGTCTGATTTTTTTAAAGATGACTAAAATTGTCCATGCCACTACAAGTCTAGGACCAAAAATGTCTTTTACTCAATTAATTATTAGTTTGTTCAAAATATATATATTTATTTAAATTTTAAAATATTCAAAAAGTGCAAAGATCGGTAGATCATATAGGATTGCAATGATTCTCATAGATTGGGTGGTTGATGTGTCCTCTCTTTCATTTAAAAAATATATATTTTCAAAATAATTTATTATAATCCCACCAATTATATATTCAAATATGTATGACACAGACTGGGTAATGGATCATCAATGGATGGCAACGGGGCGGGGGCGGGGGCGGGGACTACTCCCCGACCCCGTCCCCGCTACCCCGACCCCGTCCCCATCCCTGTCCCCGTCCCCGGCGGGAAATTACAAATATTCCCCGTCCCTGTCTCCACGGGGAATTTGGCGGGGACGGGGAATCTCCATCCCCGGTCAACCTATAGTCAAAATCTCAAATTAGTACAATTTTTAAAAATAAAATAGAAAAAAATTTAAATCCAAAGTCTTAATAGTCTTATTTTAAAAACTATAGTTTTCAACTATTAACATTCAACTATTTTTTAATATCATAGGAACTAACATTCAACAAAAATGCAATAGCAATACAATAAAAGCCTTCGATTATTCATTTTTCACTCTTCACAATCTTCTTCTTCAATCTGAAAGAACACAAAATAAGTTAATTAATTGTTCAAACATTTCTCACAATACATGAATAGTTATAAAGTTTAATTAATATATATATACCTCAATGTCTTCAAGTTCTTCTGGACTATTCCCACAATCATCGTAAATAGTACCATATGCATCTTTCCAAGTGGGCGCTACAATAAACAATATATATGTAATATACAATATCATAAAACAATATATAAATGTCATTTAATAAAATTTGATTACCTTGGCCTTTGGCATCTTTCAACAACCAACTTTGAGAACTCATTAATCCCTCCAACGTTTTCGGGTGAAGCCTACTTCGATGAGGAGTGACAACCCTACCACCAGTGCTAAAAACTGATTCTGAAGCCACAGTAGAAATGAGTACACCTAAGATATCCCTTGCAATCATTCGCAATGTTGGGTAACGAAGTCCAACACCTTGCCACCAAACTAAAACATTAAACGTAGGATCATTTCTTGGCATATTTTCTTCTTCAAAATATTTGTCCAACTCTTATTTCAAACCCCCTACAGAATTACCTCTACCTTTATATGCATCAAATCCATAATTAAAAAAAAAAAAAAAAAAACCTCATCTTCAGAATTACCCCCTATTGAGATTTCAGAATCATATTGAACATTATTGGTAGTTTGAGGAACCTTTTGATACCCTTTCACCAAATCCTTACAATATTTCATAACCCTATCCATTTGTTGTTGAGCACTGTCTTCATAGAATTTAGGGAAAAAAAACTCCATCACATCCAACTTATATCTCGGATCAAGAATATTAGCCATAGCCATTAGTCCATGAACTACCTCCCAATATTTATCAAATTTTAACAACATACTTTTAGCCATATTTGCAATAATCTCATTAGGACATTCAATCCAACTACGCAAAGCAAACTTGATTTCACACATCAATGGAAAGAAAATATTAGAAGTTGGATACTTTGTCCCTGAAAATTTATTTGATGCGTTGTAAAACAACTTCAACCTTTCACAAAGCAAACTCCCAATCATCATCATAAGGTGCACAAGTAAAGAGAACATCTCGTTCTTTCAAACGCATAAAAACATCCTTGTATTCTAAAGCAACACTAAGCATCAAATATGTGGAATTTCATCAACTTTTACAATCAAGCACCAATTGTTTAGTACTATCTATGCCCAAGTGCCTCACATTTTCCCTAAAAGTTTCATTCATTTTTGGTGTGGCCAACCAATAAGCAACACTATCTCTCACCCTTTCTATTCTGTCACCCATAACTTTTAATCCATCTTGAACAATTATATTCAAAATATGAGCACAGCAACGCATGTGAAATAAACTCCCACCTAACAAAAGATGTGAAGAACCTAGCTTAGTTACAAGGATGTTAACAAGTGCATCATTTGTAGAACAATTATCAACCGTCAATGCAGACAATTTCCTTTCAATATTCCAATCATAAACACATTTCAACATTTCCTTAGAAAGAGCTAAAGCTGTGTGTGGACAAGGCACATAAATAAACCTAAAAATGTAAACGAAATAAAAGATTACACAACTAATAATATAACAAATAAAGTATCATAACTAAAAAGTGAAAATAACTATACACATTAAATTAGAAAACTAGAAACATACCTCATAAGCATACTCTGTAGTTTCCAATCATTATCAATGAAATGTGCTGTGATTGCCATGTAGCCTTTATTTTGATTTGAAGATGTCCACATATCCGTAGTTAAGGTAATCCTACTTGTATTTGTGTTGAAAAGTGTTATAATCTTGAATTTTTCAATCTCATAAATCTTCAAAATGTCGGCTTTAACAGTATTTCGAGAAGGAATGTCGAACAGTGGTTGAAGGCTAGCTGTATACCTCCTAAATCCCTCATGATCAACAATTGCAAGAGGATATTCATGCATAATGATCATGCAAGCAAGCTCCCTCCTTGTAACCTCAGGATTAAACTTGAAAGTAGATAAACCCATTTTTCCATCCGCCTTCCACTGTTGTTGTAACAACGTTTGTTGTTTCAAGTTTTGGATGGGTTTCATCTTACAAGATCTGTGATGATCATGAAGATGCTTTGTTCCTGGTAGGGAATACCCCGACCCACATACCTTCGCTCTCTTTCTTAGTTGTTTTACAGGTAACAGGTCGGATTTCTTCAGAAGGACCCGGTCGGTACCCGACCGGTCATTGCCCGACCGGCATGGTCAACCTCCGAGCGGTAGCCCTTAGGCGAGAGTGCCGAGTAAAGACACGTGGCGGCACCAGACGCTGACAGATAGGGCACTTCGGAGGATGACAGGTGGTTGCTACGTGGGAAGCATGCCAGACGGCCGGACTTGTGTCTCCGGCTCCGCGGCTATAAATACCCGCCGATGCAACAGATTAAGGACTTTGGGACGATCGATAGGTTGTAATCAGAGACTCCCGACCGCAGCCAGTCGGTACTCGGTGCAACCAAGTAGATTGTACTTAGGGCCTTTGCGTGATTATTAAAGTTCTTTTACTTGCTTTAATTGATCTCGTATTTATTGTTAATTATTGCACCCGTGGTATTTACACTATCATTTTGGCGCCGTCTGTGGGGACCCGTGCAAGAAAGCTATCGTTTTGACGAGCACTCGGTCTCTTAGCAATCATGTATCCGTGGGCACACAACAACTTTGCAGACGATCAGGCGGATGCAGCGAGCACATCCGACCACCACGCAACCCAGCAGCAAGGTCAGACAATGGATCTCAACCTTAACCTTTCACCACCTCATCTTTCGAACACGTACCCGGCCGCCCAACAGCCGGTGAATTACGTCCAGCATGGGTATCAAACGGCCGGTCAGCAGTGCCAACAGCAGCAGATGCCATATCCCGGCCAATATCCATACCCGGTCCCTCCTCAACCGTATGGTTATTGGCCCGGTCAACCGATGTTTTACACGCCACCAACTGGCTACCCGCCCTACACGCCTGCGTACACGGCTCCAGCCGCCGCCCCTCCAGTTTACCCGGCCGCACATGTAGAGCCGCAGCATCAGCCCACTTCCCGGGCTCGACGCTCGGCTCGTTCGCGGTTGGGGTCGGGGGGTGCCGATGCGATGGAGGCACCACGGCAGGCCCAGCAAGGACCGGAGGTTCCAGCCCGAGCGGAGGACCCCGAAGAAGTTACCCGGGCAGTAGCTTTTGATCGTCTTCGACCGGTAATGCGACAACGTTTGGGACCCCAAGACCCAAGCCGACAGCCGGAAGACGTACAAATGCAAGAGGCTAGCCAGGAGGCTTCATCCGGACATAGCGGGTCGAGATCTCACTGTCGACGACGTGCTCGGGGGACTGCCCAGAACGCCCAGACGGCCGAGCTCATCCAGACCCGAGGATTGCTCCACACCCTCCAGGCCGAGTTCGCTCAATTTCGAAATGAGCACCCTTTAAGAGCTCCGGTTGACCAATCGTCCTTGCTCAGGATGCCCTTCACGGCGGAGGTGATGGCCCAGCCATACCCGCTCGATCTCAAAGTCTCCGGGGAGAAAAGTTATGATGGCCGGACGGACCCTGAGGTCCATGTCAATGATTTCTATGGAAACATGATGTTGAAGGGCGTGTCAGACGCCGTGATGTGGAGGGTTTCTATTCTACGCTCATCGGTCGGGCAGCGGAGTGATTCCGAACTTTGCAGTCGGGCTCGATTGCGGATTTTAACGCCCTGGCGATCAAGTTTGTAAGGAAGTTCATCACCTCCAAGGTGGTGAGAAAGTCTTACATGTACTTGGAAAAGGCCAAGCAGCTGGAAGGAGAAAGCTTGACCGATTTTCTTATCAAGTGGAAGGCAGCGGTCGGGGAAGTCGAGCCCATGGACGACGCCACCGCCACCCACATGCTTCACATTTCCCTCCGGGCGGGATACTTGTATCAGGATTTCATCCTACACCCCCCGGCCACGTATGAGGAGGCCCTTCGAAGGGTCACGGATTATGCCAACGTGGGCGAGGCGAACGCCGTGAAACGCTCGCAGGAGGTCGGGACATCTTCCCGTAAACCGGCTGGCCGGGCGGATCATCGATCGGGTGACGATCATCCCCGGTCCCGCACCAGGCACGGTGAGTTTACGGCCCTGAACCGATCAGCAGCGGAGGCCATGCAGTATGCCCAGTCCTGCAACCTAATCAAACTCCCCCATCCCGATCAAGACGGCCCCGACAAGAGTAAGCACTGTGCTTACCATCGGTGTGCTGGGCACGACACCGAAGAATGCACCCACCTGCGCCAACTATTGGAGGATCTGCTTAATCTTGGGAAGTTGGACAAGTGTGTGGGGAAGAGAGAAGAGACGAAGAAAAATACCGAACGGAGAGACCACCGGTGCCCGCATCACCGCTCCGATCGTTCTGATTGCGACGGACGTTCCGACCGGTCTGACCGGGACCGGAGAGATGATCGAAGGGACGATCGTCGTGGTGACCCCCCTTCTAGCAGCCGACCGGCGGGGAAGCCCACAATTCATGTAATATTTGGGGGTTTGGATGATGCTTCCCGGTCAAGAGAGAATTGCCCGGTCGCAGTTGTAGATTCCCGAGAGACCGGGAAGAGGCAAAAGATGGAACCCATAACCTTCACTCTCGAGGATCAACCTAGCAGCAGTGACCACGGCATGGAGGCCCTCATGGTCACAATCGATGTCAAAGGAACGGATGTCTAGAGGGTTATGGTCGACACCGGGAGTAGTGTCAATGTCCTTTACTTGGACGTGTTTGAGAAGCTCGGGCTTGACAGGAAGGAGCTGACTCCGGTCGGTGTACCACTGTCGGGATTTACTGGGGCGCTCGTTTACCCCGAAGGGAAGATAGTGCTTCCAGTTGAGATCGGCACATCCCGGAAGTCGATCAGGACGGAATTGGAGTTCGTGGTGGTCAATCTGCATTGCGTCCACAACATTATCTTAGGTCGACCCGCAATCATGAAGATTGGTGGGATAATTTCAATGCCTCATCTGTGCATGAAATTCCCCACCCCCAATGGGGTCGGTGTGGTCCGTGGTGATGTCCAATCTGCCCGGAAGTGTTACACCCGAGCGGTCAATAGACGAGACTCCGGTCCATCTTCCCGGGTGAACACCATCGCTAAAGAGGAGGCCAAAGACCGGAAGGAACAGCCTGAGCCTTCCGAAGAGATAGAAGAAGTTCCTTTGTCTGGCGACCGACCGGACAGGACGATCAAGATTGGTCGGGCACTTACCCCCGAGCTCCGAGCGGAAGTCTTAGTAGTACTCCGAGAGTTTTCTGATATCTTTGCATGGGGGCCCGAAGACATGCCCGGGATCGACCGATCGGTTATTTGTCATAAATTAGCAGTCGATCCCGCAGCTAAGCCGGTCGTGCAGAAGACCCGGCATCTTTCATCTGATCGCCGCGAGTTTGTTAGGGAAGAAGTTAGGAAGATGGCAGCGATCGAGCACATCCGGCCGGTGATTTATCCCGGGTGGGTGGCCAATATTGTCTTAGTTCCCAAGCCACCAGCGTGGAGGATGTGCATCGATTTCACGGATTTGAATAAGGCCTGCCCTCTCGACCCGTATCCGCTACCGAGCATCCACCAGATGGTCGATGAGACGGCTGGGGCGGAATTGAAGAGCTTCATGGATGCTTTCAAAGGGTATCACCAGATAATGATGCACCATGAAGATGAGAGCAAAACAGCCTTCGTTACCCCGGACGGGCTGTATTGTTACCGAGTGATGCCGTTTGGCCTTCGCAATGCGGGAGCGACCTATCAGAGGATGGTCAATATGCTCTTCGCCGATCTGTTAGGCCGGACGATGGAGGCGTATATTGATGACATGTTGGTCAAAAGTCGGGACCGATCCGACCACACTCGAGATCTGCGGGAATGCTTCCAGATTATGAGGAAGTATCAGTTGCGGCTGAACCCGACCAAATGCACATTTGCGGTTCAGACCGGGAAGTTCCTCGGTTACATGATGAGAAAGAGGGGAATCGAGCCTAACCCGGCCAAGGTGAAGGCAATTCTGGACATGCAACCACCCTCTACCGTTCGGGAAGTCCAGCAGTTGACCGGTCGGTTGGCAGCTCTCAGTCGGTTCCTCTCAAAATTAGTCGAGCGCGCTTTACCTTTCTTCAAGGTATTGCGTAAAGTCAACGGGTTCGTCTGGGACGAAGAGTGTCGAGCGGCTTTCGATGAGCTAAAGGAGTATCTTATGTCACCAATCGTGCTCTCGAAGCCCGAGCTCGGGGAAGAGCTAGACGTATACCTCGCCGTGTCCGATCGGGCAGTAAGTGCAGTGTTATGCCGAACCGATCTAGA